ACAAAAAGAACTCTGTACTGAAAAATTCCTCATACGAGTAAAACGCTTTATTAATAAATGCTTTGGTTTTTGATTGGAATAAATTAAAAGGTAAAGCCTTAATATTGTAAGGAACATAATTATACATTTTTATAACGATATAATCAAAACTGTTTTGCGTCTTACGTAAACGGCAAAAAGGGACAAATGCAACTTCAATGAAAACTGCTACCCCAAAAACTTTTACGTACAATTTCTTCACAACTTTAACTCGAACTTGGATGAACTCTTACTACACGTACTAACTTCTCCTTGACTCCTTCATTACTTATCAAGGGTTCGCTACAGGACGCTATCTTCAGTCACGTAAGCAAAGTAATGTTAAAGTGCCATTTACAGACTGAGAATCTCTTGAAAAAAAAAGTTCATCAGTGGACATAGAAAAGACACCTTGTAATATAAGGCGTGCAATTTTAACATGTCTCATTATTTCCGTTTATTACAGGTATACAATGGTGTTTGTGTTCTTTGCATATGCCCTAATCTTGATGCTTATATTGAGACCATGGATTTGCAAGAGATGCTTGCCCAGACAGAGCAAGATGTCGATATATGCCGCAATGTACTTTTTACCAATACTCGCGCTCCTGCAAGCACTGATCGGGGGTTTACTGTGTAAGTCAACTGGGAATTTTATATATGTAGGTGGATTACCAGGTTTGTCTTTCAGATTACTCATTTCCGTATCTAATCGTGGTCTTATCGGTAATATCGTGCGCAGCACACTTTGCTGCTCAAATAGACCAAACCGTACTCTCCCTCATTATAACAACGGTTGTGGATTTGAGAAATGTAATCATCCTCATTGGCCATTGGTGTTTACACGCATATGGTATAATTGCTATAACACAGCTCACAAATCCGACATTACACGCCTTGTTGATACTTCTAGTGCCACTACCTGCGTTATTTTACATACTTACGGCTAGGTTTACTGATCCGTCGAGGTTCTTGCCAACTTAAAACATGTTTTATTGTTATTATTTGAATCTTCATTGGAACTATTTATTGTAAATATTTTTTTAATTTTAAGCATAAAATATACATTCGTAACTTTTTTAAATCATTTATTTATTTATGCTCAGATTCTCTACAAAGAAGAAGATTTTTTACCCTAGTCCCAAAGGCACTTTTGAGTGTTCTTTTAGGTACCTACTCTTACACTTTCAGCAAGCGATTTTTTTGTTTACCCTCAGGTTTACTGTTAAAAATTGCAATTGTTTATGAACATGGTTTGCTCATGTATACAATTATTAATGAATCTAGAAATAGCAAAAAATCAAAGTAGGAAAGCCTTACATAATTAGTGAACAATTACAAAGATACATCCTAGTATAGATTCAGTTTTGTTGTAATTAGTACCCTCACAGTTTGATCATATGCTGAGCAAACCGATAAACCAATTTTATCATTACACCAATCGAATGATGTAATGGGCTGTGTGGAGACTGTACTATTTTGTAACAAACTCAACTCTCCTGGCACGCCCATTTCAAGACCATCACCATCCTTGTCGACACGCTTATGTGGGTAGTTGCTATTTACATATCATACGTTAGTAGAATTTGAACTTATAGATTATACTTACTATTTCCATAAACATAAAGAGCCCGCGCCTCCCGTTGTCATGAATATTTCTCGATTTTGTGGTAAATGCTTTACCGACCAAACTGTGGATCCGTGCGCTTTTTCAGTTACTTGCGCGAAACCTTTCTTAGGATGCTGTGTACGTACGTCAAAGCAGTAAAGTTTAGATTCCAAAGTTGTCGCAACTAGTTTGTTCATGGGTATATCCTTGCGATCAAACTGAAGCCCAACAACCTACAAAAACCATTTATAAAATTAAGTTATCCAAATAAAGCCTTAACTAATTTAACACTGTTTAGTCTATTACTGCTACTGTTAAGAGGAAGTCAATTCACTGTAGACTAAGTCGTTTTTCCCAACATCAAATGATTCGCACTACTTTCTCAAGGTAATATAATTGAGGTGTTTAGTGACTGAACTGAGAAACTACAAGCAGATTTTCAAAATTATAGTTTCTTACAAGTAAGGTACAGTCGGTGAGGACTCCTGCTGGTTGACACTATTAAGTGTATTAATTAATCAACTACTTATCCAATGTGATTTGACTAACAGTCAACGAATTTATTGCAAGTACTTACTCCATTTTTCAAGCATTTGGACCAACGTAAGGACATACTTTTTAAATCGAACATCTTCACATCCCCATTGTCATATCCAGCGCAAACGACCCGCTCCTCAGAATTGTAGGAGTTACCGAATGCAACAACCCAACAATCTCTCGCCGCCGTTCCCTCGCTAGGTAGAAACTTGGCTACAGGAATATCCTTCTGTCGAACATCCCACACCATTACAGATCCTTGAAATGAATATTTTCAAGTGTAATTAACCAGAAACTGTGCCAGAACGAACCGTCGCGAGATCCTGTTACTAATTCCGGCGCACCGCATCCGACTTTCGTTCCGGCTATACCATCTATTGAATTGATTATTGCTGTATGCTTTGTCGATTTATACACGGGAAGTAGTGAGTCTTCTAAATCCCTACGTAACGGTATTTATTATGAGTGTTACTCGCAATTCCGATAAGTCATATACCATACTTGTAATCTTCCTCCGAAATCGCCCGTAGCCAAGTGGCGTGCCCTCAAACTGGAAGCTTCAAATGTGCCGCACTTAAATTGATCTGCTTTGGCGAACTCGCTGATTTTTTCAAGTCCATCGCCGCTCATGGCGTAGATTTCCACAATGCCGGTGCCATTGGACTTTCCGCCCATCGCGACAAATTTCGCCGAGGATGGAATCCATTTAACTTCGTGTACGGAATAATTTACGTCCTTCTCAAGATGACATATTATTTGTGGTTTTGCAAGTTGCTCCATTATTTATTTTAAATGTCGAAAACACGAGAACGTGTTGATATTAATTGAAAATCAACAATATATGTTGCCATAGTTGCAAAGGGAGTATTGATGATTTTCATGGTCAATATCATGCACCAACATGAATAGTTCAATCAAAAGGAAAAACGGCGCATAATTTGAGCTTGTTGCTTTAGTCTTGAAAACTATGGCTTGGCTCATAATACGTTTTTTGTGCTCTATATATGAGTAACTTAGAATTCGCTTTTTCAGTTATCTTGGGAAAACCACAAAAGTGTTTATGTTTGCTGAGTTTCCACCGTTTATCCGTATCCCGAAAAGATGTTAAATTTGTCATTTTGTTAGTAGTTTGCACGTCACTCAGAGTTATAGTGTGAGCATTATTAAAAGTAATTAATGCACATGAAAAAGCTTGCGAATTGCGAATGATGGATGCTGCTGTTGCTGACGCTGGATCAAAAACGTGTTCGGGCGCTGAAGTCCGAGGAGAGTGTGAGCCTATTGCGAGAGATCAGTTTTCTGGGATGTAGGATGCAAAGAATATTCTGCTAGTCAACTAAATACCTTGAAAAGGTAGTAGGTACTATTCAGCACTTTTGGGCCGTTTGCAGGTAGCAATCGTGGAGAGATATCCTGGATTAACGAAGAAGAAAATCATGTTTCACTGCGACAAATGTACCCGTACATTTATTATAGCACAAAAACAATTCTATTTTTCCACTCCTCACGATTTTAAACAACTTTTGCCAGTTATTCGGCCCTGTGACGTCAGAAACGTCAAACGTGAGCAAATGAACAATTAACGTTTTCTTCATATAACTTCTAGACGTTAAGTTTAACGTTAGTGATACATCACAGGGATGATTGTAGTAATAAATCCTACCCGCTTGTTGCATTTTGATCCTTGATTAGTCAACGCTCAAACTTGAAACTTGCTCAGTTTTTAACTAGAGAGACCCAAAATCTTGATCCAATCCTCAATTTAATTGAAGAAACGCTATGATAGAGAAAAGAAAATGAAAATTCTTAGACTATGAAAGAAAGAGTGAAAATTGACTCTGTTGGCCGCCATGTATATTACTTGGAACCATAATTTATCCGCACGTGTTAAAAAGTTGATTGCGCATATGCAGATGCAATAGCTTACTTTAACTTATGGGCGGATTTTTCTGAACTGTGCTGTCTAAAAAAAATAACTAAACGCACATCAAAAAATAACTATCCGCAGAGATGCAAAAAAATTACCACACCTGCGCACTGCGCAGACTTGCAATTCTTATTTGTATGTAGGTTTTCTGAAAAAGCGTGGTTAAAAATAAAGAGATTAGCGTAAACGAATTTGCACGCTCTTTAACCATCGCAAAAACTAACCGTTAGCAGCAGCAGCCTCGTTTCTCGTCGACTCCGGTATTTACACCATTTTTTTCAAATCAACCGCTAATCACAATCAGACTTGATAACGCCAATTTCGAAGGAACGCGTCCCCACTTACGCCGAAATAACGCGCACATCGTAAAATCCGTTATCTCTTCTTATATGATAAGAACACGTGTGTTAATTAAATTTCGTCCGATAATAAACCAGATTTGTTTTTATCCTTCGTAGAGCGTTCTTTGCCGAAAAACACGAGAACCATGGTTCTGCGAGGAGGGGCTCGAATGATTTCTTTCGTTTTCAAATACACCGATGTAGGTTAGCATATCGTTTACGCAAATTTTTAAAAAAATTGATCTTCAGATAAATGTTTTAAAACTCATTCTTTAGAGCTCAATTCTGAAACATCACCTTAAAGATTAGTCGCGAATTTGCATAAATGAGAAATAACCGCGCAACATTCTTCGTATTTAGGGTGATGTGGTCTATCGGAGAGTCCAGGAGTAAAAAACGTATTTTATGTGCGCTCGTGACTAACCTATTTACGTATAAAATACATTTCGCATTTCTTTAAAAAATTGGCGAATGCTTATCTTAAACGATGAATATTTCGGTATGACCCTGTATATTGATACTTCCACGAGCTTATTGAACTACTTGTCGATTAAACGGCCTACTTATGTAATATTTCTACGACTTCCACTAGGCCACTTGCAACTTGGCGAACATTCCAAAAATGTGAAAGTACTCAAGGTGAATAATTTTTTTTCTTCGCTTACTGTTAACATACCTTTCAAATTGCACGCATAATAGTTTGAGTGTGTACCCAGGTGTGATGGGGGCCCATAAGAAGGTAATTTAATCATTATTCAATCGTAATTAATCCCTACTTATACCTTCTTTAGATAAGGTTTACTAACACAATGAAGTAGGTAATAAATATAATGTGACATTGTAACGTGGCCAATGTTATCTACATCCCATACTGATTTTAAAGTAATGTTGAGTGAAAAAACTTGATAAATTAGATGTCTCACTTGTAGGGTTCTAATAATGGATCCTATTTGTATGATCCATTGTTACTTGAAGGATTGGACTGGTCCTCTGCAAGAAACCTTATGTCACCAAACATAACAAGCACAGATCCTGGCGAAGAGTGGCTGTGTGTTAGACCTTTACAAATAACCGACCATAATAAAGGATTTTTAACCTTGTTGGCACAACTGACCACTGTAGGAAATGTTTCTCAACATGATTTCGAACGTGAGTAGCATTTCATTCATTAAAAGAAAATCGTGTATAATTAATGTCGTTTAGAGTACCTATTTAATAAACATTGTAGTAGCCGCCTACTAAAAACAGGTGTAGGTAATTAGCTAAAAAAACAAAATGATTTAAGGTGAAGGTCTTGAGAAAACCTGCATTCCACAGTTTCTTAATTCAACTTTTTACATTTAAAAGGTCAAGTAGGTATATGCATTGTTTTTTAATAGGCATAGGTACCTAGTATATGTAAAGCATTGGATTTATTATTGATACTTTCACATTGGTCATTACTTTTGGATACGACATTTTTCCTTTCTGGAAAAGTTACAATAATGCTTGTTGTAATGGGACAATTTACAACAGTCACCGAGTGTCTTTGGGATCCCTCAACACTGCAGGTAATTACCTACAATTGAATCCTTGAATATAGTGCTTACTACATTGAATTACTTCCTTTAGTGGCCTCCTATTGAAACGGTAGGTAGAGCCAAAAGTTACAATTTACGACATTTCCCAGACCCACTAACAATTTTCGATTCAATATTATAGTATTTGGGTATGTACAGGGTCTTGCAACAGTGCGTCGGTCTTTTCTAGCTGATACCTGGTAAAAAATATTTTGTGCAAATGTCAACTGGAGTGTCAACTATAGATGATTAGGATCTACAGAAATTATTTTTGAATGTACAGGGTGTCCCATTTTTATGGTGTCAATAATGAACTGATTTTTTAAAATAGAACATCCTGCATATTTGGGTCGAGATATTTTTACTACATAACTATTCTTTTTCAAATGGAACTACCAATATTTTATTTCGCTATTCGATTGTCTTTTGTGTTCTCTTTAATTTTTATAAGGGGTGTCCCCATAGTTTTTAGGTCTCACAAAAGTAACGACCCATTAATTAATTACATGTTTATACATCAGAGTAAACTGTGATAATAAAAAACAAAAGAATATCAGAAAGTAAACAAGTGTCACAAATTAATTATTTGCTGCAAGTGTACTTTCAATTTCGTAATTAAGATTAATTAAAAAGGTAAATTTTGAAAAAATGAACAAATTGCAACTTTATATCAAAAGAGCCACATGCGGCTCGCGAGCCATTGGTTGCCAACCCCTGGCATGTCCCTATACCTGAATGCCGAATGAAGTAATTAATTTTTTAGGTCAATATTGGCTAATGCAACGATCTGGTGCTTATTACGTCACCGTTATTGAAGATACACGAAGTCAAACAATTATTGGTGCTGCTACTTTAGTCACCGAGCTGAAATTTATTCACAACGCTTCCATAAGAGGCAGATTAGAAGATGTTGTCGTTAACAACACTTACAGAGGGAAACAATTGGGAAAGCTGTAAGTACTTTACAATATCATTGCAATAATGTAATCTCTCTGGAATTTATAGCATTGTGTTAACGGTGACGCTCTTGGCGAAGAAGCTTGGATGTTATAAAATGTCATTGGACTGCAAAGATAATCTCATACCATTTTACAAATCTATAGGTTACAAGATTGAAGCAGGAAATTCTAACTCCATGATTATTAGATACGAGACAGCGCCCTCTTGACAATTAGCCGTCAACACTGTTAATACTAAATCCAAATTATAAATTAGTATTGTAATCTCTTGCATTTTAATCAATTTTATTTAAGACTAGTGATTGACTGAAAATTTAGTGCAACTTCTTCTATAATTTGAGATGGGTTAGTCGTAAAGTATTATTTTTGTATTTCATGCGTCTTTACTAAGATACCTAAATCTTGTATATAAATGCAGGAGATTTTTTGGCTTATTTGCTAGTTTTATTCGTATTGGATTTTGTATTAATTGTGTTGGCATAGCTAGAGGCACTTCGGAACTGCCATCAAATGTGCTTTAGTCAGTTTTTGTGTATGCTAATCTATTATGTTGTTTGCAATTAAACAGCGATTGTCTAAATTAATGAATTTATGATTTCATACTGTTGTGTTTATTTTGAAATAAGCAAAAGATTCAACTTTCCTGGGTCTTTAGGAAACATATACCATTTTTGAGTATACCATCAACGGAATGCAATCCTCACAAATATTATTGAATTTATCGGCATGCCTTAAGTATAATAGTCCGAGAGCTGGTAGACATTTTTGGCTAGGTATTTGAGGCACGCTGAAAGCTTGTCCAATAATACCCAAACACAGAAATGCAGACCTGGCTGTGGAGTAGCTGGGGGGGCTAACACTTTGTTAGGCGCCTTCAAGGTTTGAAAAAAATAATGTACAGGGTGGCCAAATAAGAATGCGAGGTACTGTATCTGGGAGCCGGTCCATCGTAGAGCCTTGCGGTAAAAAAGTTATTACTAAAACGGCCACGAGAACAACCTGGAAAATATTTTTAAGTTTCTGAAATGCCCGTTAGGGGGCGTAACTGCAATCTGGAATCTAAAAAAGTGATGCTTCTGTGAATTCCGCTATATTAACCTAACAAAAAAATGCCTGGTCTTTGAGGTCGACGATAATCTGAACCTTTTTTGTTTGACAATTATTGCAGTATCTCTAAAAATGAAGTGGTAGGGGTATTCAAAGGTTTCCGTAAAGAACATCCTGTATCTTTGAAACATCTGGCTGCCATATTAATTATTTTGAATATTGTTGTTTTGGGTTAATAGAAAATCAACCTTTTACGCCGCTCCTTGAACTGTTTCCGGCATTATATCAATTGACAATATCAACTTCTTCTTCTGTTGAATATACCGCACACGAAAATATAAAACCCAAAGCAACAATATTTAAATTAATTAATGTGACGCCGTTCAGAAAAGGTTTTGTCATTTAAAAGTAAACAGGGAAAAACAATACACATAAATCCCTATGTCTACTTCATTTATTTATTTATTTTATGCGCATGTGCAACATTCAACTTTCTTATTTATGGAGCAATTTTAACGAAAATTGGATGGTAGGTCCCTCTAATAAAAGCAAACAAAATGCATGCGCAAAAATCGTGTTGCGCATGTGCAGAAATGCAACTTTCTTATTTATGGAACAATTTTAACGAAATTTAGATGGTAGGTCCTTTTAATAAAAGCTAACAAAATGCATGCGCAAAAAATAGTCTTGCGCATGTGCAACATCCAACTTTCTTATTTATGGAGCAATTTTAACGAAATTTGGATGGTAGGTCCCTCCAATAAAAGCAAACAAAATGCTGACGGTTTTCTCTTCATAGCATGAGCTAGGTACAATGCGAAATTTCATCAAATGTTGACGTTTTAGATCATTTTAAGCAACTTTTAAAGAATAAATTTTTCCTGTCTGTAAGTGCGTACATATGTTGGCAATTTTTGGTTTCAGCTAGGAAGCTATTCTGTCAAGAATTTGACACCTGGTTTTTAATGATTGAATATGCAATAAAAAACGCAAGTCGTATTTAATCTTTAAGTTTTATTTTTTTACTGTGTTTACGTGGGCTTTGTAGATCGTGTATGGTTGGTTGCCTAAGTGGAAGTAAGTTCCCGATTATCATTATTTTTGTCGGTGATCGTACATACCTACACAAATTATCGATTCCTAGGGTATAGATATGTTCGTTTAATCGAGCAAGAGGATATATTCTCAACTAGGTGGTGTCTTCAAAATGTTCAATACTATTTTGTAAATCTTTGATAATTGTATGATTTTTAAAGCCCGTTTGTAACGATCACTTATTTAGTCAATTTTTAAATAATTTTTTTAGGAACAAAAAAATTGAACATTTCATACATCAACTTTGATCAATTTTTTGGTAGTTATTTTAGGAACTGAAAGTTGTCCTATTTTTGTAATGTTTAGAACCTGTCCTATTTTCCCTCAATTTTTTAGTAACTTTTGACAGATTATAGCGAATTTGTAAAATTAAAATTAAATTTATATTCATTTTTAAAGCTCACTATAATACGTTGACAGTAGATAGAGACCTTAGTTTACAGAAGATAAATATTTAGTCTCCAGATTTAATATAAGATAGGTTATGTACAAATGTTTACATTTTACAGGTACTAAAAAATTGACGATATTATGTTACATACAGTTTCATCATTTATGACATTTTTAGGATAGCATTATCTTTATTGAAGAAAAAAAGGACTAAAAATTTGACTAAATAAGTGATCGTTACAAACGGGCTTAAATCAGTGCACATTTTTGGAGTAAATTATGTGATACGCCACTGACGAAGCGTACATGGTAACCACTTTCAAGCTAGACTGTGATAGAAACGCCTACTTTAGTACAAAGACCGTTATTCGTTACCAAAGTGTAGATATTTCATTCAAATATATTCCATATTTAAAGGTACTATAAGAATTAACATCGTAAGTGCTTAATCATGTTAACCTTTGCCTTCATGGCTTCATAATTTCATATAAAAATACAGTTATGTCATTTCATATTTACACGTCGAGAGGTTCACATCATAAACGCTTACTTTTTCTGATCCAATCATAATCACAAATCTCCCTAATTTTAGTGGTTTCTCAATTCTGGAATTGAAAAATGGCACAAGCTTTAGAAATTCTATCCACTGAAAATGAATTATTTCGTGTTTATTTATTTTATGGCTGTATATTAGTTTTAAAAGTAGTTGCAATGGCACCATTAACTGCAATACAACGCTTTAAGCATAAGGTAAGTCGCAATCACATTGGCTTGTGCTATAATATCATATTGTAGGCCTTTGCGAATCCAGAAGATGCAGTTGTCGCGAAGATAAAACCGAAAACTCATGAAAATGTTGAAAGAGTTAGGAGGTAAGTATCTAATGCAGTTTTTTAAGTAGTTACCTAACCAAAGGTCAGAACTTTTGGATAATTTTTTCTTTTGTTTTTGTATTAAGAACCTTGAAATAATTATTGCGTGCTTTTTAATTAGGTACACAGTCTAAAAGCATTATTATAACGGGACTACTAGGTATATTTTTTTCACATAATTTATGAGCTTTAAATAGCACTGGATCTGTTACTGTCCTTCAAAAATGATTAAACAGTCTAAAACTCAAAAAAAATCATGATCACTTCATTTGAAGGATAGTAAGTAAGCTGTGGTTTAAGTGTAGATCAAATGAGTTGTGATTTGAAAACAAAAGGCTGAACTTTCTTGTGCGTATTATATCGTTTGTTACACTAATTTGTGGGAAAATCTGTAAATTTACTTTTATCATGTAAGGTGGAAGTGAATTTTTATACTCGCTCCTATTTTTTTAGGGCTCATCTAAACGACTTGGAAAACATTCCTGTGTTTTTAGTTGCAAGTTTGGCATACATTCTCACCAATCCATCAATTTGGTTCACCACGATGTTATTTAGGATTTTCACAATTTCACGAATACTCCACACCTTAGTGTATGCTGTGGTTGTGATTCCGCAGCCGGCGAGATTTTTAGCTTTCTTTGCAGCTCAAATTGTAACAACTTATATGGCTATACAATCATTGATTTATTTTGCAAAATGAGAAATTTATCAGGAAAAAAAAGTTTTGTAAGGGTTTTTAATAAAATTTTTTAAGGGTTGTTATATACTTAATATACAGGTTCACTGTACCCAGGCTGATCCTAAAACATGGCATAACAAAAAAATTAACAATCACATTTTGGGAAAAGGAAGCAAGAGTCTGTTACTCAATCATTAGATCCTTACGAAATAACCAATCAAAGGTGTATTGTGCGTCGCTAACCAATGAAACTATACCTTTCCCTCTATTGGCTATTTCATAATGATGCAATGATAGTGAAATAATGATTAACCCACCATTAATATGTTCTCGGTAATTTGGTCTCGACGGTGGTATCCTTTACTGCGCCTATTGGACCCTCTAGCTTTATTCTCACACATATTTACACGGACGTAACAAAGTAGTGTATTTCAAGTGTATAAAGTATAACGCTACGACTTTCGCAAATGTTATTCGAGCATTGAATATACCACTCGTATCATCACTGATACGTTTCTCTACGAAGACATCATCACCAGGTAAAAATTGGAAACATAGAAAATAGTTTAACTAACATAGAATGTTTACTTTTAACAATTGTTAACTTTTATGATGAATTTTGCATAAAGGCTTTTACGTGTTTATTTAATTATAATTTCCTTTGTAAATATTGCCAAAACATTTCAAATTCACCGCTTGAGTTTTGGGCTAGTCTGTGTGGGAATATGAGGGAGACCGATAACGAATTTTACATTTATTTAGGTAAACTAAACACTTTGAGAACACAATGATAATGTTGAAAGAGTTAGGAGTTAAGTAGTGCAGTTTTGCTCGATCCTTGATATTAAATCTCCTTCATGACGCAGTGACCTATTTCACAGAAAAATGGCCAATAAGCACATGTGGCAGTAAAGCAAAAGCGTCGTCACCCACAGGTATCAGTGAATTTAACCCAAGGTTTCAAAACTTGTACATCGAACAAGAATTAGTTGGTGATGTAAAACGTATCCGGAACTTGAACTTAAACCCTAAAAGAAATTAAAGGTAACCCGTTATGACATAAAATTTACCTACCTCTTATATAAGAGAGCTGATCTTAGTCGGAAATTGCAGTACAACTAATTATAGCCAAAACCTAAAGAAGGTATACTCTCTAAATGAACGAAACGCACATGCGTTCTACCTCAAGCGGTTTGTTTAATTGACGTGCACCTTGATACGGCTTACGAAGGAAAAAGAAAAATGAGAATCGACGCCCATAAATCAAGGCGCTGGCAATCACAAATTCAAAAGTTACGGCGATCTTTCAGCAAGTAAAAACCATAAACGTAATGGAGAAAATAAATAGTTACAAACTCCAATCCTTGCGTGGTGGCGTCTGAAAATCGCTTCTCGCTACTAGTGGCGCTGCGAATCGCGCCATGTGAAGGGGTTGCGCGTTTGTGTAGTGAAAGTCCGTTAAAAATTGCGCCACAGATTCACTCGGTGTGAAAACGTCCATATAAAACAATGTTTCGCTATAAGAATCAGTGGACATAGGGATAACTCACATATAAGCATATGTTAAAGAAGGTTGGGGAGTCGGTAACCTCTACTTTGGCGGTTTTATTTACATTTTAGAACCTGTGAGTCCATACAAAAAATCAACCATTTGACTTAAAAAAGAATTTATTTAAAAAAATTGTTATAGTTTTAGCTATGGAGTAAACATTAATAAGCTTTACATTTGAGTTAATTGAGAGCAGTTTTTATTTACTGCTCTCCACATAATTCTAATAGTTACAAATTTGGCGTTCATATTAGCAATGGTAAAGATCACAAATACAATAAAAAATCTCCCTATTTTATTTGTGTGTAAACCTGTAATTTATTTCTAAGTGGAACTTCTAAAAAAATGTAATGCTGTTAGGTATCTACTGGCCGATTATGAACTGATCCGTCGAAAAATAAAAATTATTAATATATTTTTGGTACTGCAACCTACTGTAGTGGATCTCAAGCCCTTGTTTTGCAAGCTATTATGGGTAACTTCACCACTTTCCACAGTATCAAGTAATTTGTTAGTAAAATCACAAGTTGCCTTTGATGGTGTTTTGTTATACAAGACATTTCTCGCTTGTTGTTCTTTTTACGCATCATTGCACGTATACTTATGCTAATGCACTGTGGATGGAAGGCTCATTTTGATTTATCTCAATTAAAACTTCCAACCTTGAGGGTATTCCAAAAAACAGTTGAAATTAAGCTACACTGTCTACTGTTACTACCTGTAAACAATTTTGTTTACTTAATCAACTTAAACTTGATGATGTTCCTCTGTTTTATGTTAAGCAAAAACATAGACAATCTGCCTTCGTTCAAAACCAGACAATGAGTACTCCATTCAAATCGAAGGTCTCTATTATTTCACTATATGAACGTAATCCATTTAGATTTGTATTACATATAAATTTTAAATCACAAAATTTCACATTTTCCTAGAACCTAACTTCATAGGTCCCGTCGCACCTGTAGGTTTGCTAGCTCGCCTCGCTTCCATCTCCTTCTGTCTCATTAGCTTTCTTTCCTCTCTCTTTTTTCGTGCCTCTTCAAATTTTGCACTGGAACTTGTTTGGTTATCTTCCAGGGGTTCAAATTCGGTATCTTCCCACGTATTCTGCGGTTTTCTATTACTATCTCCCCAGTTGTAAGAAGCAGTTTGATGTTTGGTATCATCCGTGGGAATGTATTCACTGGGAGGACTCCACGGTTCAGAGGGTGATGTTAATTCCGTTTCGCCCTCCTACAAATTGGCGTAAAAACACAATAACATAAATATTCTTGGCTCACTTTAGTTACAAATCAATTAAGCAAATGAGAAAATCATACCGGCTCTTCTTCTAAGCTACCCCATTCTTCATTGTCCCACCCGTCAGTTGTTCTCACTGGAGCTGATCCTGAAGGTGGACTGATCGGGTCGCTTGTAGCGCCACCACCTCCACTTCCGCTACTGCTGCCCATTTGTCCACCAGTCTGTTAACACATTTAATGAAAAACCATGCAACACGGAGGGTTTGCTGTTAAAATCATTTTGTTCAGTCAAATACCATCGCAAATCATAAATGAAACAATGTACCAATTCAACAGGAATTTATATTTTTAAGCGGAATTTCATTTAACATGAAAACATCACGTTTTATTATGGGTCGCTAGGTAGCTTTATTTCACGTGTTCGTGCACCCCACGCAAAAGGGACTTCCAAGCAAGGCGGTTGAAAATGAGAGCAAGAACCCGTTCTCCACAATCCAGTTCCTAGAGTTGGTGCACTGCATAGTCGAGTAATACTGGCTTCCCATGCTACTGAGCCCACTTTGAGAGGACGAAAGTATGGTACACACTCCAATACCAAAAACTACAATCATTGAGGAAGCCGAAGTAATCTGGGCAGGTTTGCCAAAAACGCCACCAATCATCGGATGGCACTTGCACACCATCAGCTTAGAAAACCAAACTGCGACCCCCACCATACCTTCTAACCAATATAACAAAGCGAGTTCCACCGTCTCTGGGAAAATAGGGATGTTAATGATCAACCAGTATTGGATATGGAGGTACCGGCAGCTATATCTGGTAACTCGCCCAGATCATGATACTTATATACATATACGCTCTAGCCCTACCTATAGAGGCAGTTCTGGTCCAGGAGAAGGGTGACCAAGAAAACACTTTCACGACCCGCAGCGGAAAATTATGAGGTGTGCGAAATTGCAATCGACCTAGCACGAAAGAGACTTATGATCAACCCACTATCGGACACTATTGGATACATAAAACCTATCAGAAAATCGCTCGGCGCTACTTTTGACCCAGGACACACAAAGATCTGGAGGCAGAGACAGACAAAGATTATCGATGGACGTTCATTATAGAGGACACCGCTTCATGCTTGGTAGAGATGTTTGCGATGAAAGAAGCCACCGCGAGAGCTTGCGCTCAGGTACTCAGTAAAAAAGTAGTACTACGTTATCATGGGAAGGGAACTCAGATCCCACAAATGCTCAAATCGGCCCTACCACACATAAAAGAAATTAAGCAAGATGTGGCTTCCATTGAACTGCGCGTCGGGACGACCGCTGGTTCAAAGGGGGAAACTTGTAATAAAGTTCTCCCGCAAGGCGCGCGTGGCGCTGTAAGTAGCGAGTCGGTTCATGCTTTCCCCACTTGCTCTGCCTTGTCAATAAGTAGAGACTGAGTTTTCCCAAAGATCAGAGAATGCCTGTACAAATCGCTCCACCGCATAAAATTATCATTGGAAAATAGCTATAGTGCACAAGGATGGACAGACGGACGTACGGACAAAAATTAAAAGCTATAAAAGGTATCTGGAGATGTTAACTCAGAGGTATAGCCAACACAGACGAACAGCTGGACAAAAGGATGGACAACCATATAAAGGATCTTTGGATCCTTAATTAGTCCAGGCGAAACCGGGTTTTTCAGGCAGGTGAAATGATTAGAAATTGGGAAAAAATAATTAAAACAGCTGAATTTTTCCGCGGGTGAAATCCAGGAGGTTGAAAGGGGTGGAAAGTGGTGTTTTGCAAATTGTGGCAAAACTATTAATTTTAGACGAAAATGTTCAATGTAAAAGTTATAGAGATTAAAAAAATGAGCAACTTTTGTACCTGCACTATTTTCACATAACCTCCAATTTTCCTAGAAAAACCAGAAAAACTGTTTCTTATTTTTGCGAAAAAAAGTCGTAGGGGTTTGAAATTTGGAGGAAACTTAGCTTGTTTTATGATAAAAAAAAGAAATAATTTTTTGGGCCCCCAAAGTTGAATCGTTTCCAAGATCTCACGATTTCTTAAAAAAACCACCTCTTTTTCAAGGGAATGAAAAATCTATTTTTTTTCATCGTACAGAGTTGCGCGGGGTAGCAAAATTTTGGTAAGGACTTACATTGTAATAATCAAAAATAAAAAATATTATTCCAATTTGTTTTTGTTCACTAACTCTTCTTCCTGCCTGTTTTACAGCTGATGTGATTAAACTGGGCCAGTTGATCGTTAATTTACAGGAATTATGAATAAAATCCTCATGAAGTTTATTCCAGGTTTTACTCCTCAAATCATTTGCTTTGGCCAGTAAAACTAACGTTCTTATTGCAGATTTTGCACGTTTATCAACAGGCCCAACGTAATTGCATCATCAGGAAGAAGAGCCAGTGAACAAAAACAAATTGTTCAGGAATCAGGAAGCAAGATAATCCAATTTTATTTCGAATTGCTTTTATTGCGGTAAAAATGCAGAAACATGAAATAATAAAGATGTTTTAACTAAAACAGTTGTAAGATAACAAAAGAGAATATTTAAGCAAACATTAAAGAGAAGCAAGAAGACAAAAATAGTATATTGAAAGACAAGTGTTACAATGCGACCTATTGTAATACGACTATCTTGTGGCACGAGTGGCGACGCGAAGCGTAGCCACGAGTGTCCGCAAGATAGGAGTATTACAATAAAGCATTGTAACACGCGTTTTTCATACTATTTTTTCTATTTCGGTGCTTTAATTTAATTAAAAAAATCATTATCAGAAACTATAGGGAACATTAGAACTAACATGTTTTATGTTGGGAACACTTTTTATGCCGTTAAGTTTTAGGTTGGCAGCGTAGTAAGACTGACATTTTGAAGTTCAAACATGGAAGTACCCAACGAAGTACCTACTTGTACTAAATAGTAACTGCCAACTTAAGAGATGAGTTACCAAAAAAAACGACTATAATCACTGTCTTTGTACAACTGTTTTCGGTCGAAAACAGTTTTACAAAATCATCATTGTGACACCGAAATAGAAAAAAATCTTTATTAACATCCAACATGTTGATTTATCATGTCAAAAAACGTGTAGGTATATCTTAAAATTGTTTTTCCAGTTTTTGGCGATTTTCTCGAATTTTTGCTATAGGAATAATATTTTTTATTTTTGTTTATTAAAATATAAGGTTTCCCGAAAATTTTGCTACCCCGCGCACCTTTGTACGATGAAAAAAAAATAGATTTTTCATCCCCTTGAAAATGAGGTGTTTTTTTCAGAAATCGTGAGATCTCGGAAACGATTCACCCGCGGAAAAATTCAGCTGTTTTAATTATTTTTCCCCAATTTCTAATCATTTCACCAACATGAAAAACCCGGTTTGAATCGTAACTAATTTTTTTTGTAAAAAAATATTATATAGCCTGGACTATACATTCGGATCAATTGATTCCTACCCAATCAGTTACCCGTTACCTCCACAAAGTGAACAGATAATCACTTCCAACTAGGGCTGCAAAAAATAATCGATACATATATCAATATTTTATCAATACACCTTGATTATCAATAATTTTTCGCACCCCCAATCGAGATATGCATAAAGATCGTGAAATAGTTATTTACATAAAAGTCAGGAAAATGACACATTACTGGCGATGAAATATTGAAGTATGAGGCCCCTATTCAGACTTTCTTTAAAATTCTCCTTTTTTGCCACAGGTGGCCATTTTCATAAAAAGAAAAAATTATCAATAATCGATATCAATAATTTTCTATTATCGCACAGCACTACTTTCAACTGATCTTGGTGAAAACAAGAAATCAGAATCAGGACATCTATGACTAATGATATTGAAGAACTTACCTCCATATCTCCCCAATTGTCATCACCCCAATTATCATAGTCATAATCTGAAACTGAATCATTCCCTCGACTCCCATCTTCGTGTTCCAAGGAGGTCATAGAGGTAACGCTAGACGTAGTTGTGGATAAACTGCTGCTCGACGGTTGCTCTAAATTTGCCAATAGAGATATCTTTTTTTCGCTTACATCATACAAACCTAAGGACGCGGGTTTACTCAGCATTCGACTAGTTATCGGATTCATTGACTTAACAGTGTCAGATTGACTGCGATAGAACTTGGCTGTTACCGCAGTGACAGCCCAACCCGCCCAAGTTGCAGCTGCATTACTTAAGCTCGGAGTTGCCGTGTTGACGTCAGCTTCTACAAGATAGTTGCGACAATTTGATTAAATTCAGTGTAGTCAGATAATTACCCATGCTCTCTCGTAAGCTCGGATCTTCGGATACTTTTTCTAATTTTCCTAAAAATCCCTTAATTGTGCGAAATACAGAATCACGTACAGTTTTTTCGGTGTCCATAGTTAATTGACATAATGCAGGTAAAATTCTTGTTGATACTTCCGTTAGCAAGTAATATTGCTGTGTAGCTGCTAAAGCCAAAATGCCTACAACAAAAGTCATAGAATCCATTAAATACATATTTATGTGGAGTTACCAGCATTTCTAGCAGGAGGGAAAGGATCTCGCATAGCTCTTATAAATGCAGATATAAGAACTTTTTGACGAATTTGAGGGTGTAAGTGTTGCGCGATTTTTCCTAAGCAAACTGTGGTATTCGTCCGTATCCCCCCTTGATCATCTTTAGCTTGTAATCTGGCAAAATGTCGTAATACCTCCACATTGAGATTGTTGTAATTCAACTTAGGTGCTAGATGTATCACAGACTAAACAAAAACTCCAGTCTACAATCGGGTCGTACATTTACATACCTTACTTTAACAGTCTGTTCTCGAATGGTTGGATTGGTATCCATAAATCCATGGGCAATTTGTGGGAAAATTTGATCATTTACAGTACCCGACTGAAGATGGCTTATAAAATGTTCTAATTGCATTAATAATCGTGAACGAGTTGCTCTATCACTACTGGCAAATAATTTAACTACACATGGCACAATTTTCTTTTGATAATCAATTTCATCCAACAGTCTTCCGAGCTGCACAAAAAATTTAAGATCATTTAGAAAACAAATGATGATAATCCGTACCTTAAACATTGGTGCCAAAACGGCTGACCCTGCATCGCCGTACTCAAAGGCGGTGATAAGTTGTGGAAGAATCTTATGCTTACAAACATTATCAGGAAAATTATCTAAATGCGGAGTGAGATTTGAAAAAAACCTATTCTTCTCGTTCTTATCCTTTATTTGAATTTCCTCCAAAAATAGTAGCGTGTCTACCAGATCATTTTTGAAATAGCCACCTAATTTGCGACACCGCGTAATTATGTCTGCGGGATTAGGTCGCGATCCCGGATTCGCTCCTACCAACTCGCAATAAAGCGGGCACAGTTGTTTCGGTATCTACAACATTAAAGGTAAAGTAAAAACGATAAGGTCTGAACACCACACCCAACCCAAAGTTATGACCCCAACCCCCAACTTACCTGAACATGATCACCACAACGCCTACCTTGACCATGATTATCAATTTGTCCAGAATCCCCAACATTAACAATAACTGCCAACACCTCCAATTTTTAAAATAACTTGCAATGTTCAAAGAAACAAAACAACGCCTGTTCCATGAAACGTTGTTTGAATGTAATCACACTCATGAAATTCATTTTTATCGTTTGGCATTTCGGTCACAATTTCACTTTTAATTTCCATGTATCTAAATTTTCTGGGAACTTCACCCTTTAGTTTATTAAAACATTGATTTTGTTCTCCAAAAACAAAAGCTGAGTGAAGAGTGAACCAGAAAAAAATGGTACAAAATGTGAATGTAAAGAACTTTAAATAATCTTCCCCATACTTCAATTCAATATTTTAAATTCTTAGCTTAGCGACTACTTGTGACAGGAGTCATCTTCTGGCTATTTATGGTTGAATACAAATCTGAGAATTCTTTGCCATGGGTTCTGATTTCAACATTGTACAGTAAACCGACCAATCTTTGACACTTTGTAACTAATTTTTAGGAAGTCTATTGTACATTGTTTGATTCCTTTTTCCCTTTGCACATACTTTGGACCTCGCTTTGGACATATGTACATTCATAATATAAATGTAAAATCGAGTGTAAAATTTAACAATATACTAAATACAAATACAATACAATAAAAGATGACGGAACATAATTAATATACTGTTGTGTAAACTGCAGCGGGGTGTCGTTTCTCTAGGTGTCTAGGTCGAAACAATGCCGAAGATGAGACCGGGCCACCCTAACGTGTTGTTAACGTAATTTCGGTTTAAGCATTGAAAATAGCAGTTGGGACATCTTGTATGTAAAATGTTTCTAATTATTTCGAGGTTATTTTATAGGACCTGAGGGACTTTCTTTCAAATAGGACACAGAATTGGAAAATTTGTTAAATTGTCACTTTAATTTTAATATTTATTGTACTTGGTGAGTACCATAAATTTTGGAAGGGAACATTTAATGGTAATTTCGACGTAAGGTAAAAGTTTTATCTGGTCAGATGTTTTGTAAAAAAAAAGGACTTATCTGACAAATTAAGTATCCTTGTTTACTAACAGTGCACGTGCAACGAATGCAAATGTTTGGATGGCGGTGGGAATGGCGAGCGAGGACGGGGAACCACGATATGTAGCTTATAAATGGAAGTAGTCTCACCTTTAAATTCGAAAAATGGGAAATATCCAAGGCTGTTTTCGGATCGATTGTAAAAGCGTATGTTATTGTTGCGCTCTTTTTATAAATGAATTATGTGTCAATTTGAAATCCAGACTGAATCTTATTTTTCTGTCATTTTCAGTAAATGCGTTTTTTTATTATTTATTACTTCGGCGTCGAAATTGGAACTGACTGAATCGCAAATGGATTTCCTTATATATGAAAACTCCCATCTTGAACAAGATACAAAGAATCATACAATTTTCAGTAGGGCGAATTTTTTGACACTCAGCTCGCATTCGAAAACACAACTTTTAATCTGCCTCATAAATAGCACTGATCCTTGAACTTGTTTGACGAGGGTTTGGCATTGCTGTCTCTATTCATTCTCGAGTTAGATGAGGAAGAAATGGATGGACAGACAAAACCATCACAGAATGAGAACTTCTTTTGAAAAATGTTCTATTAAAAATTGAAATAAAATATAGGGTGTTAAATTAATACGCACAATTTGTTATAGGATATACCTACCAAATTTCATTCTCTCTAGACCAGATATTTACCTACTTAGTTCCACACTTTTGCCCATCTATGTATACAACATAGTACTTAATGTAAATAGAAAAATTGAAATATGTACAATAGAAAACAATTCTAAATGTATGACAAACAGGCTGTAATTCTGAAGAAAATGTTTAGGTACATTTTTAGATTGGAGGTGGTGACCAAGTTGGGCGTTTCAAAAAGCAATTGTTAAATAATTGTAAATATGGATGGCATTAGGAGTGGTGGTCATTATTGATAATTGGGTGTTATAGTGCACACTCATATTTACCTTATCTAAACTTTTTAAAGATGACTGTTGGTATAGAGGTCCATTGAAAACTTCCCAAATTAAACATCCCAGACCCCACATGTCCGTTGAACTTAAAATACAGTATGATAATTAAATATTAAAGAAGACTGTAGATACCATTTAGTGATTTGCCTCTGCTTCGTCGGATCATTTTTTTCCGGTGGATCGTATATTTCTAAAGATGGTGTGATTTTAATAACGTTAGATAAATTCTCCTGAGCACCAGCAACGTATTCCACACCACCCAATTTCCACTCCCCAGCAGTATTCACATATATTGACCATATATTTACGTTATTATGCTTTAAATTTCCGTCATTATTTAAAAACGAAAGTGCACGCTAAAATAGAATGATAAAGAGAGATATTATCAAACGAAAACTCACAGTAATTTGAAAGATGCCCCAAGCGATATATAGGTCCTTTTGCGCTCCTTCCATGGTCAATGATTCTAAATGATACGCTAATGGTTCCACGCTCTCCGATGCTAAATATAATACTTTATCCGATTCTAAGCTATCCAAATATGTAAGTACACTGGGATGCCTTAGGGTCTTTAAACGTTTTACGGCGGCCTTCGCTATGTCTAACTGGGTTTCAGATCCACTTTTAATGTCGTACATAAACACAGACACATCTTCACTGGTACCCTTTTTCTTTCCCTTGTGCAGCGTCCATACACTTTTTTCTTGCAAGCCCGCCACTTGTTCCACAATTTCATAATTAAAGTCTTTTGACGGATCTCGCGAGAAAAACGACCACATATTTTTTTCGTGAACACTACGTGTTAATTAACACCAAACAAATAATATTTAAAAACCTAACCTAATTGCCATCGCATACACTTTTGACGTTTTAGTGACAGTGGTGACGCTAGTGGACGATGGCGAAACAAAAATAAACGCAATCTAAAGGCCGATTTACAATCACCAAAAATACACAGAATTCGGCACGTAAAGGTGCGTATTCATGCAGCGAACGAATTCGGCCGAATGGATTCATTCGGATAATGTGACGTACAACCAATCACAAGCGAATGAATATGTTAGCATTCTCTCACCAGGCGGCATATCAAAGAAAATTCGCGAAGAATTCGTTCAGGTGATGTGTAAATAAACTTTCATGTACGTGAGGTTCAGCAACAGTGATACAGTAAATCGGGTAAACTCATTTCATTGCCCAGTATATTGGGACTATTCGAAAGCAAAACTATATACTAGCATTAGGAAAACACTGTCTAATAATTATAATATTTGAAGTTATATTCAAAATGCAGGGACAGCGAGGGGTAACTTTGTGTCACACATTCCACAAGAGGCGAGTTCAGAAAATGGGAGGTCGAGAACGGGATTCTTACCGAAATTTTCGAAAAGAATCTATGCCGGTTGAGTGCTACATTTTTCGATCGCGTATTGATTTCTTTGCCGAACTGACGTATTGTGAACGCGTTAGTTATAAAACGCGTAAAACGAAATTCTGCGCCGATGTGCCAAGGCGAGTATTGTGATTTTGTGTTTGCCATTTTGGAGATCATTGTGGTGGAGAATCATTAACTCCGCAATAGAAGACAGTGCCGCCCTTTTTAACGAGTTTACCGAACGTGGATGCCTTCAAAATTCGCTACGAGTTGCCAGCAGAAGTAAAACTATTAATACTGGCTGTTACTACTATACAACATTTTTTGGGGTCCTAGGGTGCAAAACATTCCTTTGTGCCAGATTTGTAGTGGCAAGTTACATAAAATATTAATTTATTAGTCAAAATTGTGCATCAAATTGATGTATATGAAGTGCGAACAAAATTACAAACAAAACTGCCACAGGTGAAAAGGTTAAAGACAATTAATTCCAGCTTCTATTTACTATTAAAACCCCAAGTTACATGGGTAGATTGACATTTACAAATTGCGGAACATCCGTAATTTATTACTATGTGAATAACACAAAGTTCAATCAATGAAATCAAATTAAGCCTGAAGCACGGTTTATTCCTGAATCAAATTGCGTCAACTATCTTTCGAGATTAATTTTCAACCAGCAATATAGTACGAATGCAAATAACGGTAGAATGTACACAAACAAACAGCAATTTTGTTCTGAAAAGAGCAGATTTTTTTGCACTAAGAGCAAAGATAAATAATAACAACAACCACAAGAATAACCGAAAACTTTCACACGCAAAAACCAAGCCAAAGTGTCAAATGTCAACAAATAACGAAATAACGTTTGACAGCATTGTAAAAAAAAATTCCGAATCTGCCAACTTATTCTCCTAAAAAGTAACTAAATAATAATGAATATAAATCCGTCAAATCTTGATTTAAATTGGCATGCCATTTTCTTCTATTGATGACCTGCAACGAAAACATTGTAAGTTGAGCAGGGCATAATAAAGACACTAAATTCCACTTCCTAATTAATAATCGGTCTATTTTAATCATTACCATCAACTCTACACTCTATTTCTATATTTCAAAAAATGGCATAAATAACATGTTCACTTGTTAATAAAATGATAAACTTTCCCTAAAAAATGCCTTATGCTGTAGACGATACTGCCAATTTCTTTAAATGGTCCATAAACACTTGTAACGAAACATCATCTGTTAAAACTGGTGCACCACCATCCTGGAATCATAGCCGAATTTAATACTAAATTTATAAACACGGCCAGAGTTACTTACAGCCCCATACGTATACATGTTATTATGTGTTTGACTGGGATTCACTTTAGATAATAAAAATCTCGCTTGAGATCCGCCTTGTTCCGTGTCAATGTATCGTGGCATTGGGAAACGTGTCTGCAAAATCTCCTGAGCGTCATCGACTGGTGCTTGCAACAGCTGCCTAAAGTTCTCGTACTCCGGCATATCTTGATACTTCATACTACGCCATTGTGCAATTGTCTAAACACAGAAGGCAATCATTACATTGACAACTGTTTGCATCCACTCATTACCTCTCCGTGGAATATTAGTATTTGGAAGAATGTGTCCATTAGTAAAATGCGATCGGCCTGTATAGAACTGGTGTCCAACAAGACTGGTTCGGGAGGACCGTTAAAACTATAACTGTAAAGGATGGGTTGAATCATAATTAGCGATTGTGTGAGATCTTCACGCATCAACATGTGTCGGTAAAATGAAGTTTCGTCCGGTGAATTATTAAACACCTGCAGAAATTGCGATCTCCGAAGGTGATACATAAACTGCGGATAAAGACTGAAGTTTTCGCTCAACCTAAAACTGCCCGGATCATCTTTGTTGTATTCTCCGAATTTTTGACACTAAAATGTACGTAGGTTAAACTATTATTAATCAGTTCTGAAGACATACCAATCGAATTAACATTCTGTCGACCCAACGTAAAACATCAGGTCCATCATCGGTTTCTGCCTTATACACAACCATTCTAGACATCAGCACGGCGGCAGCTTCTTGGTCAAAACCTGAGCTTATATTGTGCAAGCTTGTTGTGGCATCTGCCCAATGGCGAGCGACAGTAGTTACTCTAATTCGTCTTTGACCAGTAGTATGCTAAGTGAAAAGTACCACTTACTGTCAGTAAACACATTTGATTATGCTGTATTAAAAAATACATTTGAACAAATAGAAGAATTGATCGTCGAAACAGTCAGTTCTGAACTCTGTATTTCGTTCGTCTGAGAGCGAGATCTCAGCATTGAGGCTTGTCAAACGCTGGGTTCATTTTTATTTGATAAACTTTAACACAAAATATACTACTAATAAAACTAAATATTAAGGCCTAATTAAAAACGCTCCTTTGAACATTGGGTTCGCGCATGCGCGTACCAGGTTTAATAAAAATTCATCAGACATTTTTAGTAACAGTGGAAAGGGTAGAAAAATTCAATACTCACTTGGTACTGGGTGATGAATTGTATACAACCACGCCCACCCTGCGGTATGGGTGCTGAATGCTGATTAACAACTTCAAAGAATAAAGCCATCGTTGTACTTGGAGTAAATGCACACATTTTCCACTGAACTGTATTTCCCATTCCTATTTCGGAATCCGAAACTAGCGGACTTTTCACATTTAACGAAACACAAGATCCGATACCACCCTGAACTGAAATAATATTGATAATTGATAACATTCTGTAAAGTGACATGCGTACTTTTCAATTCACGAGAGCATTTCACTTCCAATGTACCATTAAATGCCATCCTAAGGTCGCCTTTTGGATCACGTGCAAATACTCTTTGGAAAGTTTGCTTGAATAAGGACGAATTGAAGGAGTCTGCCATTACCATGTGACCCCTAAAAATGTAGCATTAATTAAGTGATGTAGATACATCCAAAGGTGTACCCGGTAGAATTGCAACACTGCTTCATTTCCATCAAACCAGTTTGATCCAGTGCACACGAGTAAATATCGACGGCATGTCCGTTTGTTGCAGAACGTAAAGCTAACGCTTCATAGTGTTTAATCGCTTTTTTCATGTACTTCGCATTATCCTTTTGAATATCATGATGAGATCTAATTGGTAACTTGAGGTCATCGTTAACAACTTGACCTGGGCCTTGAGAACATGGACCCCCCAAAAACATCATAATACGCGCGCCGGTACTCGGATAAGTACATTCCAAAAGTCCCACAGCTATCGATAGCGCCGCTCCTGTAGATCTCAAATAACGTTTGCCTTGTGGCACCGGCCATGGGTCTCTTTGCAATTCACCTAAATTTAAAAAATCAATGTAAAATTTGAACATTTTAGGAAAACAATTAGGTAACACAAAACATTTGATCCACAAAAATAAAATAGAAACACTAGATAGAAGCATGAGGTAGAAGAATCAGGTGTTTTCCGAAATTGGGAAAGCGAGAAATGTAACTAATTTATTGTGGACAATAAATAAACAAAAAATATTAAAAAACACAAATACACTACAAAATATAAAAATAGATATAGAAGATTATCCAATAAAGGTAGTAGAGAAAGGGAAAACAAAGTCCAAATTAATTGCAGTAAACGATAAATCCAAACCAACCAAAGAAAGTACAGAAATTTCGAAAACGATGACATTAATAACAGCTAACAAAGTATTAAATTTATTACAGATCATATAGGGAAATTAAGTCAAATAAACAATAAAATGGAATTAAAACACAAAAGGTGATGGAATAATGATTGGGTAGACACATAAAAGGACGCTAATAGTGATTGAAAATGATACTCAAGAGTCAAGAAAATAGTGATTGAAATGATACTCAAGAAACAATAGGAAGAATAATAGAAAAGGAACAATTAACATGGCTTGATCCCAACAAAATGTACTTACAGATAAATCAACACAAAAGAAAAACACAAGGTGTGCAAGAAAAACATTAATAAATATTTGTGAAGACGTAATTAAGAGAAATGAAAAGACTACCTACCAATCAAATCAGTAAGACACATCTCACAATTTGCCAATGGTTGTAAAAACCGATTAATGGGAGGTGCAGTTTGTGTTGGTGGTCCTCTCATAGGTTGTCCAGGTATTTGCTGCATTTGCGGTTGTTGCTGCATGGGACCAGTAGCTTTGGTCAAGCCTAACATATCTTGAATCTGTTTTGCTGTTAAATCTTTCGTTCCACGAAATACATAAGATTTACTACATCCCTCGGTACCTAAAGAAAGAATTAAGGAAAAGACGAACGAGTCTTAGAAGACATACCCAATTCGTGCACTTGCACCATCTTTCCGAAAGTAACGAGTCCAACTAATGCATTTGGTGGCATTAAACTCAGAGACATTTGCAACGAGTCTTTTAAAGATCCCAACTCTTCCTCATCCATGCAAGTATCGACCACCAACAGATAGATAGGAGGCATGCATTGAGCTCTCGTTATCGTATATTCGATAGTGGAAAATGCAGGAAGCAGTTCAGCCGGTTGATGTTGTTCAGATATTGCAGCATATTGTGGAGGAAACTGCAATTAAAAAACATTTTATATATTTTAACTGCGCTAATTCAAAAGCCTTACCGGATTTCGTTGGAAACAGAAATTGCACACCCATAACTTTGCCCTATAATCTACTTGACAAAATGGATTTAAAATGGCCCGGCAGTTATTTCTTGTACATAAAACGGGGTCGTACTGAATGGGCGGTAAATCCGTTCGCTCCTTAATTGGTTGATATAAACATCCCAAAGGGACAACTAAACGAGTCGCTTCTATACGACTTGACGGCCAGACGTTCCATGTGAAACGGACCCCGTCCCTGTCTTCATTTTGCTGTATGTATTCTTCGAAGGTAGCCATCTAAAACCTGTAAATAATACAACGAACCATTTTCAATTGTAAAAACGAACCTTTACTAATAAAATTAAGTTCAATTAAATAAGAAATTCTATTACTTTAATTGAAAAATTCGTTTAAAAACATAACTGTTCACAAAACTCCACGTCAGCTGTCACCAGCACATTACAAAGAAATTGCAGCGTTGCTTCAGAAGGTGTGTTTACTTTGAACTACTCCTAACTACAGTTGTCAATAGTTCAAAATAAGCGGTCAGATGAATACAGGGTGAGTGAAAGAAACCAATTCAGATGCCCGATTACAAATTCGTGTCATGACTACTAAACATGACATATCTTTTTGGTACATCTACGTTAAATTTAAAGTATAACAGTATTTTACTGATGTGATGACAAAGTAGAGGTATATGGCGTTAAAGTTTCGGCATTTCAGTAATTTTTGAATATCAATTAGGTACTTCTTAAAAAAGCAAAAAAATCAAAATTGTACTATAGATAAGCATAAATTAGCTCTTTATTTATTAGTATATAGAAAAAGATCGTTAAAACAGCCAGTTTTTGTAATTTTATGGGGAGCATATCGGCTACCATTCTGTTCATCATCGTGAAATATATATCCGATAAAACGCAGCAGTATTTTATTTAACCTCGCCCGCTAGGAAGATTTATGTTATGACCATATACAATGTTATTACTTAGACCCCTCCCTAATCTGAACGCCACTGAATGTCGTCTGCCGTGCGGTTTCCAATTTCCAAACATTTAAGGTTATGTGTAATTGTTTAAAAATGGTCAAATTTATATTATTTAATTTACCGATAAATAAATACTGAAAAAACATTTATCGTATAACAATAAATTCTAATATTTAATTAGACGAGCGTAAGTAAGAACTATAGTCTTTACGTAATTCGCATGATAACCTTTGATCAGTATTTCAGCAAACTACTGATTAGTTAATAATGTGAATCGCAATCCTTCAAATTCGCTCAAATGGAAATAGTACAAATGTACAAGTATGAACATTGAAATAGAAGTTCTATTCTTTGCTAAAGCTCGTGAACTTTGCGGAAAGAGTCAAGCAGTTATAAGTGTTTCGTCCACAATCTCCTTCGCAGATCTTCTAACTGTGATCGTCGAACGTTTTAATCTAGATGCTATTAAACGTTGTTGTGTGTTGTCTGTTAATGAGGAGTACGTGAACTGCGACGATATCTTACATTTAAAGCAAGGAGACGTAGTTGGTGTTATACCACCACTCAGCGGAGGATAAAATGGAGTTTTTAAAACTAACCCACACTCAGCTTTCTGTAGAGGAAATTTCCAATCTGGTCTCCACACCAACATGTGGTGCAATATCCATATTTGTAGGAACAACTAGGAATAATTTTGAGGGGAAAAGTGTCATTAATCTCGAGTATGAAGCTTACGAGAGTATGGCGTTAAAGTCTTTGCAGTCTCTGTGTAATGATATAAGATCGCAGTGGAAGGCAATTGAAAATATCGCAATTTATCATAGGTTTGTACTTCTGATTGTGGAATTGTATAATTTGTAATCATTTAGACTAGGTACTGTACCAGTTAAGGAAGCGAGTATAGTTATTGCTATATCATCACCACACAGACTTGATGCAATGCAAGCCGTTCAATGGTGTATTGATAATGTTAAAAAATCAGTTCCAATTTGGAAGAAAGAAATATACGAAGGCCAAACAGATTCGTGGAAAGAGAATAAGGAATGTATGTGGTCACAATGCAACAGTTCTTAACATTTCTATTACCGATTTGTTTATACATATTTTGTTATTAAAATACATCTTCCAAATGCTTTTAGCATCTATTCATCCTCCGAGAGTTAAATTCTTTAAATTAAACAATATCCCCGAAGTTAAAGTTCCGTTCGTTCCTCCCCATCTTGTGCAAATCAAAGCAGATGGTGAAGAAATAGAGAAACGCATTGAAAAGTTCATCGAGTTAAAACGAGAAGAAATAAATCGTGCGAATATAAGAGATTTTTGTTGCCGTGACGATAATGAAATAAACGAGTTCTCGTGTGCGCGGATCGATGCTAAATTAATTAAAAGAAAAGACTCCAAAGGTCATTTGAAGGGTAGTTGTTTCTTTGTGCACTTTGCAATGTAAACTTCAATTGCTTGTTGTAGTAAGCCGTGTTTTAAATACTTATCATCGGGATCAAGGAGATTTAGATTACTTAAAAAAGTATGGCAATAAAAATGGAATTGAAGAACGGATTGTGGGCATCGAAACGCAATTAAATTTGGATCATCGTACACATAAAGATACGTTTAAGAGATTGCAAATAATGGAAAATCGTTTACTGCACTTGGAGTCTTTGTCCCCTGAATATATTAACTTTTGGGTAAGAGTACATCAAATAATTTCGAATGATTTTGGTATACTTTTTTAGAATAAATCTGCGCCTTATCAAAAACCATCTAATAAAAAAAGAATATTTACAATCGAGGAAATTGATAGTTTTATCAGTAATTTAGAAAAGAAACGTACAAAATTAAATTTGGCATCCGATGAAGAGAGTTGAAGTGAATTTTTTATTCATTTGGGATTTTTATGTATGTAACTTTGTAACAAAAGGGGTTGAGCAACATCATCTAATAAAACCAATGAATAAACATTGAATAAAACAAATGAACAGTTTTGTCCTTTATTTTGTGGCAAATGTTGACATTTTAATGGGTTTGAATGAAGAGTAGGCAGTCTCTCTTTAGGAATAGATAAAGTGATCACTATTAACAAGGTAGATTAAGTGAAACAAATGATTGTCCATTCTAATCACATCTATCTTCTTCTATTAAAAAAATGGGACGCAGAACAACGAAATAAAATGATGTTCAGAACATAAAACAATAGTTTCCATGGAAACGATGGGTTGCTTGCTATTAACCCATATATATGTATATATATGTATTAACCTCGCCAATTAAAAATTGACAGATTATTGAAATCTCTCCAAATTTCCATTTTGAGATTGCATCGGATCTTTATATTTCAAGGATCCAGAAGGCCAAAAAACTGCTTTTTAAAGATGTGTGTGCGGCATGATTCTTGTTCAGCCGAAACTACCCGAACGATTTGGTTGAAATTTGAAATGCATGTTCCCTTAAATGGTCTCGAGAGCAGCACATAACTGGCTCTCCGTATAGTTTGCTGCATAGTTCTCTTGTATGTTGGTACGCTAAATAAACATCAATGCATCTCTATCTTTATTTCATACTCTTGGCTACAGGCTCTTATGGTCACTAACGATCCCAAATGTAATCAGAATATCATTTTAAGAATTTGTAATCTATAAAATCGGCATCGTCGCACCAACAACTCCTAGAAGGCTTGCATCTTTCTGTTGAAAGGGCCCACAGAATGGTGTCCCTTATGTGGCATCAAATGATCAATTGTTTGTGTAAGTGTATAAACATAACGTGTTATAATATTTTAAATATAAAATAATATACATTTAAATTATTTGTTATGTTGAAATAATTGTACACATATTTCATCTCTGATTGTGTTTCCTCGAATATTTGGAGGATCCTCATTTTGTAAAGAATCCGGTTGATTGTCTTCAATATCATCTTCTTGAGCAAATATAGTTTCATCAGACTTATCTGCAAGATTATGTAAAGTGCAGCATGCTCTTATAAAGTGACAAATGCGCTCGTCCCCACGTAATTTTAAATGATACAATTGTTTGAAACGTTTCTTTAATAGTTGAAATGCATGGTCAATATCTGATCGGCACGAATTGTGAACCAAATTAAAGTAGATTTGACTTGAAGTCAAATTACCATGGTCTTGGTAAGGTGTCAGCAATGTTGGTAAATTTGGATAAGCCTCGTCACCTAATAGATATCCACCATCTGAAACATATACATGAATATGCAATTTCTATCTGACTACTAACCATCGCAAATTGTCTCTAAATCAATGTCTAAAGCTGAGCTTTTAAAAACATTTGCATCGTGAACAGACCCTGGACATCCTACATAAATATCTAAAAAATTTAACTCTTCATTACATACGGCCTGTAAAATATGCGAGAAATATTGTTGGCTGTTGGAGTAATTAACGGACGGTTCATTTTGTTTATCAATTTTTATATGAGTGGCATCAATGCAACCTAAACCCAGCATAATAATAATAGGAAATAAAATTATGTGTTAATATTACCGATGACATTGGGCAGTTTATTCTTTTCATGATAAAAATTCATTGTAGTTTGTTTTTGTTCCGAACTTGGAAGTTTAATGACATTTAGAGCCAGCACATTACTTAAGAACATCATTATCCTTGTTATTACATCATGTAATGAACTGAGAGACAAATTAAATTTGTCAGCTACATCTCGATATGAAGCTGTATGGTGCCCAGCAAACCATAAAAATGTTAATATGTGTTTTTCTGGTGTAATATTTCCACGAGAATCTACAAAATGGCAAATCTAGTTATGCAGAATATTTTTGATTATTACTTACTATTTCTATAGAGATCCTTGAAGAGAGTGCTATCAGAAAAAGTATCTACAAGATAATTTATCTTACTACGGCTCAGTCTGAAATTGCGTATTATTTCTTCATCAGAGTATTGCTCTGTGATCGAGATCTATCATAAACTATTGCTTAGTACGTACGAGAAATTGCGTTTTTTAATAACTTACTCTCGAATGTTCGGGGTTGATGTTTGAGATGCACATTTTCTTATGCTCTTGGATTAAATTACGACACTGGCTAATAATTGAATTTGTATATTCCGTTTCATCATCAGATGAATTAAATTCTTCAAAAACATCGTCATCATTCAAAAACGCAAGAGCCAAAGCTACACATTTACGTTTTAAGGACATAATTGTATATTTATTGTTAATTTTAGAGGTTAGCAGCCCAGAACAAACAAACTCTATGAAGCTGTGCTCTATGGTTAGGAGCAGGAGACTGTAGAGAATCCACAAATCACATACAAATGATTTGATTTGTGAGAGAATCCTGAGAACAATCACATATCACGTGATGCATTTAAAAACATAATTAAGGCATTTTACATATAAAGAGCATCTTTTATACTGAGGGATTTTCTTGTTTCTTCAAATTTGCTTACCGTTACCCCTTCAAATATATAAAGGAAATTCGTAGAATTCATAGTATAGCATAGTGTGCATGTTTACGAAGTACAAATAACGATATAAAGTAGAAGAATGATCAGATTTTACCGTGGTCTATCTTCTTGTAGTAAAAGTGCTTCTTATGATTAATGGCATGTGGTCATTTATCATTTATTACGAAGTTCTAAACAGTCATTTTTTACTAGTACGAAAGGTCGAAATTGATTCATTTTAATTAAATACTTGTTCAGTTTGATTAGAAAACGATGGGAAATAGATCTTCATTATTACTGCGCGAAGAAGAAATCGCACAGATTCAACAAGAAACTGGCTGTAAGTATATTGTACATGTTAACCTGTCTCCTAATTATTAGCCCTTAATTGATGTACTTTTTAGTTACACCAAATCAAATTGAAAGGCTTTACTCTCGCTTTACATCCTTGGATCGTGGTGATTGCGGTACTTTGAGCCGAGATGACTTCTTACGTATTCCCGAATTGGCAATTAACCCATTAGGTGAAAGAATTGTTAACTCTTTTTTCCAAGGTGACATGTATAACGATCGCGTGAACTTCAGACAGTTTATGAACGTATTAGCACACTTTAGACCTGTCAAGAAAAATAAAGATAATAGGTTAAACTCACGCGAAGCAAAGTTAAAGTGTAAGTTACTATGAATGTTGCTAATCTACCTAAATCTAAATGTCCATTGATTTTCAGTTGCCTTTAAAATGTACGATCTTGATAATGACGATTTAATATCTCGTGATGAACTCTTGGCCATTTTACACATGATGGTGGGCGCAAATATTAGTGAGGAACAATTAACAAGCATAGCAGAACGGACTATTTTGGAAGCGGATGAGGACGGCGATCAAATGATTTCTTTTGAAGAATTTTGCAAGGCCTTGCAAAGGACAGATGTAGAACAAAAAATGAGCATTAGATTTTTAAATTAAATTATTCCAAGCATGTGTCTAATATTAGGTGTACTAAACAGATGTATTTTAAACTTAAGTAAACATAGTTGTTATTTAGTTGATTAGTGCGTACTTATTCTGTATTGTTTAATAAATTTTGTTTTATTAAAATATTTGTAGCTATGTTACATTTTGCACTGCAATTGTACAAACTTAATCTGTGTGTTAAGCAATGTGATTGGTTAATGCCTTTGACACTAGCCAATGGCCAAACTGCCAATTGGTTTAGCGAGAAATGAGAGTACGTATGGACCACAGACCAACATCATTGAGATTTTGTTTGATTCGGATTCTTGGTGCTTCAAAATGTGTATTTCCGTCCGGGGAGTCATTTTTTACCCCAATGCAATACTTCTCTTGGTAAAAAGCAGTTTATGACGTCACGGTGCTAAAAAAAACTGGTATATTACAAGAAAGTTTTTGACACTTTTATATCCTTTATGCCCAATGTACATTGCCCAAATTTTATAGAAATCAAAATAACCGTTGCCGAAAAAGTATATTTTTGTTTTTTATCCTTCGACATTTTTTTTCTCTATTTTTTTAAATAAAATCTAGCATAATTTTTATAGGTTGTACACAGAAAAATAAGGTTTTTCGAATAACATGGAAATTTTAGGTTGCCATTTAAAGAAAAGTTCGATTTTTCAAAAATTCGACCTGTTATTTTTTTAAACTGGCGTTACATTTGCTTTTATTCTAAGTACCTATGTAATAAATTTCATTTAAATGCGTATAAGAAAGTTGGCAACTACGCATACGCAAATCCAAATTTTGAAACTGCAGTTACAGTTGCGTTTATTCCAAATGCCTGCTGAGTGCTGAGTACTTATCAAATTTCATTTAAATATCTTCATAAATAAAAAAAAACCGAGATGCGATAATGGCATTTTTGGAATTGCTTATATATACGGCTAAAGCTATGCCCATATTGAACATCGTGCAATTCTAACGTAACTAACAGAGATCAAATACCTAAGGGCCGGTTGCACAAACGTAGTTTAAACCTCGTTTAAATTAACGCAATGAATTAAGACATATGATTAGTGGAAATTTGACAAAACGTCAAATTTCAACCAATCCTAGACTTTAATCCATTGGTTAATTCCAAGCGAGGTTTAAACTGTCTTTGTGCAACCGGCCCTTAATATATTAATACAGGAAACTCGCTACTATTTGCATTTGCGTACGTGTGACACGTGAATGAGCGCCATCTTTACGGCGCGGTGTGCAATGACGAAAAATAAGAAGAGAATTATTTATATTCCCAAGAGTATTTAACATCATAGGGGTATGATATTATCAAATACCATCATATTATCAGTTTATCCATAAGAATTTTGCAAAATAATCTGTAAAAAATAATACATACCCTAAAAAAGCGAGTTAATATTCATCTGCTCATTTCTGTAATGGTACCTTGGTAGATAATTTCTTTGCCTTTTCAGGTTTCTAATAAGGTAAGGTGGGGTAAGTTTATTTGGAGGAAGTGAATAATGAAGATAATACGAAAACCATGCGAATACTAGAGGTTTCATATAATAAACTACTAAAGGAAGTCTCTCAGCTAACTTTTATTGTTAAATCTTTATTTTGCCTTAAGAGCTTATATATTTTGTAAACAACCTGTTTATGTTTTTAAAAGTCTTTCCTTTGTGTTCTTAAAAAGTTTGTACAATCGGAATGGCACCCTTAATCAACCTATTCCAAACAAATACACTAATGAGTATATAAATTCAGAACTACACTTATGTAAATCTCACCCTTGACTAAACAATCGTGTATTTCTGAAATGACTTTCAACAAAATGATCAGAACACACTCTATAGCTTCTGTTTAAACATTTCACACCTCCTTTCTTAAAAATACCTAGCATCCAAGTCGCTTCTTTTGCAGTTGACCACCCACTGCTTGCACCTGAAATGAAAACAATAGTATAAGCTAGGCCCTACATAACATAAAACTTCATAGAAATTTGTGGAAAAATATAAAACTTACAATTTGGGTATATACAATAAAGTTACTTACACTTCATCGAAAGAATGCTTTTGAACAATTTTTCACAGTGGCATTGCAACAACCATACACAGCACAGACCCCACCAGACATGCTGTTTTACGACTTTTTCCCTTCAAAAAGCAAAATCAAAAGCTGCAAAAATTTCAAATCAAATATGACATTTGATTGTGAACACACCCTAACGCACGGTGGCGCTGCAGTCACTTGCGACAGGTTGTCAATGTGAGTTTCCTGTATTATTATACAGAGTGAGCAACAAAGATTGAAGCGTGCCGCTTCAGCTAAATTGGCAATGTGCCGCTCATAGCATATGCTGATTTGATACAAGATACGAAATACGAATAGACGCACGTCACTGTGACAGCGCAGAACGTCATTTTCGTATACAACTACATACAAAGAAGGTAGTTTTGATATTAATAGGAACAAGCGGTGATGACGCACGCTTCAATCATTGTTGCTCACACTGTATTAAAGTATTTGCAGAGATGTAAAAATGGCCTACAGGCTACATTGCCAACTCCGATCTAAAAATATGATAAGGAATCCACCTGCTATAGGTACATTTCATCAAAATCGGTCTTCGTTTTCGAGTTGTGCTAACGAACGGACGGACACATACCACAAAATTATAAACTCGCTAGGAGTTCGCTCGTTAATAATTACTTATAATCCAAATTCAAAGATTGCCTTAAAAGCGAGTTAACTGCTAGCCGCAATTTCCTTCCCTACTAAAGCTAAACCATCTTTTATCTCCGTGTAACGTAAGAGGATGAAGATCCGAATCTAAATGTTTATTTTATACTGTGAGATACCTGCTCCTTTACTAGTTTACTCCACCTCAGGTCACTGTTTGGTTTGAAAGTGAGTGTATTTGGAAGCTGGTTCTTGAGGTTATAAAAACTGTAAGTGTTATCGATGTTTAACGAAATTTATGCTTTATGTTTTTTTTACATAGCGCTTAACTTTTTTAAATACAGCTCAGTTTATCTTAACTAGCTAATTAGTACCTATATTTTGATTACTTAAAAATAATATGCCCTGTATGTTAGCGGAGCCAGGCCAAGATGTTGCAACGGAGACACAGGAAGACTAGACAGTGCAGATCCACAGAGACACTGACAGCTTGAAGAAGCGGGAAAGTGATCTGTGTTATTGTAGGTTAAAAAAAAACTCAATCCCATTTACCATGCCCAATATCGAGAAGTTAAATAAGAAATTATACAATACCTTAAAGCTAAGTGGATTTTTAGTTAGGAGGGAGTTTTGTACGTATGTAATTGAAAAATTACTTCAGGAAAATATTCAATTAGATGAGAACGCAACCTTCGATAAATACGTTAAAACTTTGTGTAGTAACTTGGAAAAACAATGTTTAATCAACAAAAGCATAGAAAAGCACCACATTGAGTGTGTTGTTGAAGTGCGTCCCTGTTATTTGCCATTTAAAAATACTATAATGTGCCTTTTTAGATCGCCCTTAATTCCGGTTACGATAAACAAGAAACGATTTTTAGCACCATCGGAGCCTTCGAATTTCCAAAACTTCGATATGATTCGGATAGAAGAATTTACTTGCCAGCTATATCAAAATCCCGCTTGTTGTCGGGTCCGAATTCTAAAACTCAACTTTTTCTGGACAGATACAATACTGTTCTGCAAAGGACCCAACGAAATTTTAAAAATAAAATCACTAAAAAGGAATCTGACAGGCTATTTCTGCAAACTGTTGACTATTTATTCACTAAAGGTAGTGTGACATTGAATAAAACGTTAATTCTGGGTGCATTATTTCAAATGTCTGAGGGGAAGTTTGCGCTCGAGGATCCTTCTGGTTTAGTTGAATTAGATTTTAGTGATGCGAAGTAAGAATTTGCGAATGTTTTATGTGTAATAGCATTATGTTTTAGGTATCATGGTGGTTTCTTTGTTGAAAACAGTTTTGTATTAGTTAATGGTTATTATGAAGATAAACTTATAAAAGTTTCTACTGTTATATCACCTCCTGGTGAGGAATATAAAGACTCAATGTAAATGTTCACATGTGTAAAGATTCTAGTCCATTTTGTTTATTTTTAGTTTATCATTTGGCAGTATTAATTACTATGGAGGACCGTCTATAACACCATTAAGAAATTCCCAAAATTTAGCTGAACAACTGAGGCTTAATCCTAATAATTCGATTATGTTGTTCTCTGATGTGTGGTTGGATCACCCCATGGTAATGTTATAAATTAAACTTAGCTGATTTACTTTTTTATCTCATCCCTGTAGATCTTTGAGAAGTTAGAAATTCTCTTCAATGGATTCCACCACTCTCCACCAATCGCTTTCATTTTTATGGGCAACTTTATGCAAGACTATCAGGGATTAGAAAAAATTGACAACTACAAGAAGCTTTTTAAGAAATTTGGCGAATTACTTTCTAATTACACTGAATTGGTTCACAAAAGCAAATTTGTATTTGTACCGTCAATGACAGATCCATGCCACCTTCACATTCTCCCAAGGTGGGTATATTATTTGCTCTACTCTTATGTGCTCACCTTAAATTTCCCATCAGTTTAGAATTTAAATGAGTGCTAGAATTTTTTAAATTGATAGCAGGTTCCGAATAATTTCAGATTTCCCCTGCCTTCGCACGTGACTGAAGAGTTTCAAAAGTCCGTACCAAGTGCAATTTTTACCACCAATCCATGTCGCCTGCAGTACTACACAAAAGAAATAGTGTTATTTAGAGCAGATATCTTGCCTAAACTCATGCAAGGTGCTTTGGAGAAACCCCAAATAGAGGAAATACCCGAGTTTGTAAGAACGCAAAATTGTAGTTTTGTAAATGTGAACGCTTGTCTGTTGAAGATAACGAGAACAATTATCGGTCAAGGTCACCTTTGTCCGTTCTCGTTGAATGCAGTCACTGTGAATTGGGATTTCGACTACACTTTACGTTTATTTCCGTTGCCAAATTTAATTGTGCTTGGTGACAAATCAGAAGCCTACCAAGGGAAATATAAGGAATGTCAATTAGTTAATCCTGTAAGTAATTTACTTGTTGGTTTATGTGTAGGTCATTGGTATGTTGCAATTTCAGGGATCTTTTTGTGGCGATGAAGAATTCCAATTTATGTCTTATGTACCATTTGATGAGACCATTCAAGAATGTAGTTTATAGAGTGGAGTGTATTGTGTGATTGATATTTTTAATTTCTTATTTATTATTTTATTATTATATAACTTTGCTTTTACTAGAGGATTATTGTTTCCTGTAAACAAAATATTTTCAGATTTGACCCATAAAAATATGCACCTTTGATCATGGGCAGAATGTAATTTACGTCAGCACACTCCACTTACTTATGAGTTATGAACTTCTAGTACCAAGAAACTTACACTCATTATGTATGTTTTAGTTTGTTTGGGGGTGAATATCGTCCATTTGGGAGTTCAGATCTCAACACTGAGAACTAAGGATAGATGTTTTTTTTCTATCTAATTTTTTACGTGTATTATCTGTAGGATAGACGCCATTTATTCTGATGTGTAGCAATTCTAATATTCTAATTCTAATATTCGGCTGAGCTTGAGAGAGCTTTGAGAAAGCATTTTTCCTATTCAGAAAAACAAATGAATGTGTACATATTGAACTCTACCCCCCTATAACTTGCGACAGATTCCTTGTAGCTCTTATATAGTGTTTGCCCTCCACAAGTGTAAAAAACACGAGAACGGTGGTTCCACAGTGGGTGTAGGCGCTTCATTTTTACATATTTTCAACTGTGGCCATCATTAAAAATTTTTTTTAATAAAATCCGACTAGGTTGCGGAAATTCCATATCTTCCTATCGTCTCTAGGGTCGAAAATCCACCCTGCTCAACAAATGTTCAACTTTCCTGTTACTCCTGTAGAAATCTGTCAATGTTTTCAACAATTAATGAGCGCATCCCCTGTTGCCCTTGAAATTAAACCAGTTAAAGTGTTTCTGAAATCCTCGGCTCTGAAAAACGTCACTCGCGCGTTTGTTCCCTCCAGTCCCCCGCATTCTAATTTGTACCAAATGTATTGGAATTGTGGTCTGACTGCGAACCTAACGCAAACAAACTACAATTTGATACACCTTCTCGTTCCCAGTTACGGTTGCTGAATTTTACCTTGCGGGGAGTGCGCGTTCAAAGCATTTTACCGCCCCGCTCTTTCCGTAAAGTCCCGCCCCTTAACTAGCGGTGCGTGTGGCTGTTTTTAATCTCCAAAACACAAAACCAAGAGTTTCGAAATGCGGGGGGAGGGGGGTGCTCGAGCGTATTTCCTTCTTTTTCACATCTCCAAAACACAAAACCAAGAGTTCCGAAGGGCGGGGGGAGGGGGGGGGGATTGCTCGAGCGATTTCCTTCATTTTCACATCTTTTCATCAGCGTTCCGTATCTATCGCTTTTGCAAATTTAAAAGGCACCCGCATAGAAAACGCATTTTTGGACCTGTGAGGTCGATACTTCCGGATTTCAGGGGGTTAGAGGTGGGCACTTCTCAATTTTTTTTCGGTACGGCGTAGTCGCCTCGGACCAAAAGGGTGCAAAGTGCGCGAGCGATGCCGTTTTAAGGTAGTCAAAAGATTTAAAACTTATTAGCGAACGAAGGAGGGGAGATACTTTACTCGTATATCATGGATGCGAGTGGGCCGCCTTTTCGATTAACAATGCCCTGAAACTCATTATCCCTAGGGCAAAATGGAAAATTGCATTTCGGAACAACGGATATGCAGAACCAGACGCTGGGCGACAAAGAGGTAACACAGAACGTGAGTAGAACGCATCCTTAGAGCATGGTAGTACCATTGTTTAAATACACAAACGGCTATAATTGCACATGAAGTATGGTCAAAGCCATCGCCTGGGTATGTGAGTTTCAGGGTAAAACGAGTCTATTTGAAGCTGTCCGATGATACACGGATTTATAATTCAAAGTTTAAATAAACAAACGTCAATTAATCGCCTAGAAATGACAGTGGCCATTAATCCATAATAGGTACATACAGGCATTCTCATACAGATCAATTAATTCTCTATTCCAATCCGTTGGCTCAAGAGTTTAAAAGGATATTGGTCCATTTTTGAGCCAAATCGAATTAATTTTCGCCTTTCCGTAATCGAACATATTTAAACTGCACGTTTATAACAGTTAAGCAAATTAATCGAAAATTACCCAAAGGGAAATCCAAGAAAAAAGACGTGATAAAAACGCTGGTTTTTCAATAATAGTCTTAATTATGATTATTACACCTTATTTTAGCAAACAGCTGATCGGATTGTCAGTGGTTTTTGGCAAATAAGAAACTTATGTTTTTCAAAAATGTGTCATTTTGGTAATTGTTGAATAGATATTGCATTGTTTAATCTGTATGAATGATAGTAGGACGTGTAAAGATTAAAGAACAAGACATAATACAAATATTTTATTGAAGTTTCTTGCTTTCCGTTTACAAAATTAAATGAAATCAACCGTTCGATATAGAAATTTATTAGTAGCATTATATGGTTGAAAATTAACCTACTGGATACATCATTTTCAACAAGTCAACAATTTTTTTTTGTTATAAATCTTTTATTTATGAAAATATACTCTCAATTAACTTTTGTGAAGCAAGAAACTGCCTTAGTTAAATAATACCAAATAGCAATACAACACACGTAATGTTCGTCATTTTATTTTTCAATTATCATCAGTTTAGAAAACGAACATTAACAATGCTTCGTATAACAAATATCACACAATCTTAAGCTAATAAGAATTAGTAACAGTAAATGTACAATAATATATATATATTTACAAAAAAAAGGTATAACTGTGGTTGTATCAGTGACTAACAAACTTATAAATATCACAAGATGTGTCTGCACCGATGAAAAATTTGCCTAATTCGAATAAATTTCATTTTGACGAGAGCTGAAGTTTCCCTGCAAGAGTTAACGATAGTGCACAATCAATAATGATACGAGCAACTCACTTTCTTTTTCATATCGTCGACACGCCTCTTCTCGTTCAAGTGCATCGAAAAACCATAGTGTAATTGCGTATCTTGTATGGTAGGCGGGTTGTACTTCGTGAGGATTACGCCGATCGGACCAAAAGAACAGAAGTCTGTCGAATATTGGTTCTATATCGGCCACCTGTAATAACATATCCCTTTAGAGAGCGCACTTGACAGCTTGATAACAAACCTTGTCGCCTCTTGAACCTTCGGGGAATATTCGTAGTAGCCCACCGCTGCGCTTGACATCCCATTGCAAGTTGAGGTAGTATATCGACGTAATACATCGGCCGTCTCGGTTTGGGTTGTCGACGTGTTTTACATAATGGGAACCTGAACCGGGATAACACGCTACCATTGCCTGTAGAATAGAAAATTAACAATTAGAATGAACCCTTTCAGGAAGAGGTTAATCAAATTTTTTTTAATTAAATCATGTTAACATTATAAAAGCACAGGGTCATAAATTCCAAGTATTTTCTGTATTCTTAGAGAAATAATCCTTAGGGTCAGTATTTCATGTTACCGTAATTTTTGTCTGACAGTTAAATGCTATGGAAGCAATATCCCATAAGTGTAACTGAATGAAAATGAAAGATATCACGCCATATGAATAGCAACCATTAGAACTGTACGGTTAATTAGATTTTAAGAGTAATTCTAGAAGATTATATGTGCATAGTAATTTATAGAAATTACTTTCCATGTAGGTAGAGTATTTCTAGATATGTACATATCAGTGTTATAAGATAAGCTAGGGTACAACTCATTCAATGAAAGCCATACGGGGTGATTTCTAACCTCCCTACCAAACTGAAATGGTAACTAGAGGGGATCAAAATAAACGATTTTTTCAAATAGTTTTGATCAAATTCTATTAAGAAAGTTAAGTATTTAAATTTTTCAAAATTAACAAATTAATTACTTAATAAGTAATTTTTGACATTTAGGTGACATCAGTGTATTTGATTAGATTATATTTTAATAATCAAGTATCATATCGTTTAAATCAGCGGTTTTCAATAAATGAAAACCCGAGCGAAACCCAGTAACTGTTAATTTTGAAAAATTTAAATAACTTTCTTAATATTAGAATTTGATCAAACGTTTATTTTAATCCCCTCTAGTTACCATTTCTTTTTGGTAGGGAGGTTAGAAATCACCCCGTATTTTAGAACCCTCATATAACGTAGGAAATTAACAAAATGACTCACGGCCAGTTGCACAAAAAAAATAATCCAGGATTGTTGTTTAATCCGGTATTAAGACATTTTATTGGCTTTATACTACAGTATGCAGCCAATCAAATGTCAAAATTCTTGTTTAATCTCAGATTTGGCAAATAATCTAGGATTTTGATTATAATTCGCTTTCCTGCAACCGGCCGTCAATTAGTTTTTAAAAATATATAAAAAATACAAGAAAAAAGTTATTCATACTCCAATTTTTTATTAACCACGCTTTTTTTTACTTTTTTAAAAATTAAAAAAAACACAACTTGGTGTTACAACTCGAAATCCGTGAAATTTAAAATCTAAAATTTAAAAATTTAGAAGTACTACACAAAAGCAATAACTACCACGATTTAATTCACTCTGAACTTTTAGAAATACACAAACATATAAACAAACCCCAAATTTTTAATGAAGTAATAAGTGAATATCTCTTAACAAAAATGGTAAATTTATAATTTTAATTATACAAATTCCATAATACCCGAGATAATACCTGTAATCACTAATCCAGTCTGTTTAATTCATTAACTTCATATTTATTGTAAACGTCCATCTTTTTGTCATTTCAGTTATAAAGTACGTATTGTAACATAGAATCATATTATTAATCTTAAAAATTGTTAATCCTAGGTTTAGGCTTTGGTAATGGCTGTAAAATTTATATAACCGGAACATATATAATGTAAGCTGTAAATTAAAAACTTTTTTGGGAAACACAGGGACGATAATTTGTGTAAGATTACATTTTTAGCTTTTTCCTATAGTGCACGGTTTTCGAGTATAGATAGCATCAATGTGTGTTTTTTCAAATATCTCTATAAATAAGAAAGTTAGCATTGCCTAATCTGCGCATGCGCATGTGATTTTTACTGTTTCAATCTTTTCCTTTATTTGAACCGATTTGAACCATCTGTACTCGCATCTGTAGTTAAAATTAACATCAACTGGCACACATTTTAAAAATTACTATAGTAATATACTTGTAAAACAATGGATTTTCGATTTTCAAAACTAGTGCGATTTCCTACATGCATTTTCTATTTTAATTTTTATATCACTTTTCGGATAAAATAAAAACCGTAGTTATAGTTTTTTTTATTCTGCGTCCGTAAACAATAAAATACACAGGGTGTTGCATTCACAAACAAAAAGTTAAGATCATTTCCTGCTAAAACGAAGTCGAAAAAAGAAGACTTTCCGGTTCGCATTCCGGATATTAAATGCATTAATTTGTTATATAAACACACCAATTACGTCATAAATAACGGAGATAATCGAATATTCCGGGACTTCAACTTAGCCTGTATAACCAAAGAGCCATTTTGCAAGTTAGTCAAAATGCCTTGGAACAAAAATCGATAATGATGTTATGATGTACCTATATTGTTTACAGTAAACGTTTAACTTTTAATTCACATATGACAAAAGTTACCATGTGATATTTGATTACTTATTATACTGCTGGATATACACCATATACAGGGTGTTATACGACCGTTCGAAAAAAAAAATCGGGTTGTAGAGGGCATCAAAACAAGCACTTTTTCCAAATAAACCGAGGGTCCAACGTGTTTCGTTTGGGAGCCACCCCCCCAAAGAGTGTTGAAATCTGCATTTCTTCTTTAATTTTTTTCTCAGCAACCATAAGAGTTACAAAGTCGGGTGGCATGTCTTTGAATAGGTTTTTGGGTATGCTCTTTCCGATTTTGCAATTTTTTTTCCAAAATTCCTACCCCTAAAGGGCGCACCCCTAAACTAGAGTGCAAAAAAAAATTCTGATTTCGACGAAATTTGGTATCTGGGGGTTTTTTAACATGAAAATCACGAATCTGAAATTAGTTTTTGAAAATTCGAAAAAAAAAAGTTCCACTGCAATTCTTGGCGGGACAACGAAAATAGAGATAATTCCACGAAATTTGTTGTGTACATACTAAACGAGTTAAGGAACAAAACTGTCGAACAGTTTTTTAAAATAACTTTTCAAACAAAAGTTATACTCATTTGAATGTTGGTCCTTCGGGTCGCGGTGTCCCAAGCCTACTAGTAAGCCATAATTTCGCATGTGTTGGTTGACAATGTCGCAAAAACAAAAGATTAACGGTTTGAGTCGATATTTTGTTATTTGGAATTAATTCGTAATCGTAATTCATTAAATGATTAAAAAATTCGATGTATCGATTAAAACACCTACCAAGGTATCTTAAAGCGCTGATCGATTATTTATTATCTAAATAAGGTAGGGGAAAAAGTCAAATCACTTTCCGTATGCTATGATACTTTTTCACTATGATCAAAAATTTTCATAATCTTAGGTTGAAAAATAACTTCCAAAAGAACACGCTCCTTTTAAGGACAAATCAGCGCTTTTATGTACCTTGGTAGGTGTTTTAATCGATACATCGAATTTTTTAATCATTTAATGACCGAATTAATTCCAAATAACAAAATATCGACTCAAACCGTTAATCTTTTGTTTTTGCGACTTTGTCAACCAACACATGCGAAATTATGGCTTACTAGTAGGCTTGGGACACTTCGCGACCCGAAGGACCAACATTCAAATGAGTATAACTTTTGTTTGAAAAGTTATTTTAAAAAACTGTTCGACAGTTTTGTTCCTTAACTCGTTTAGTATGCACACAACAAATTTCGTGGAATTATCTCTATTTTCGTTGTCCCGCCAAGAATTGCAGTGGAACTTTTTTTTTCGAATTTTCAAAAACTAATTTCAGATTACTAATACCAAATTTCGTCGAAATCAGAATTTTTTTTTGCACCCTAGTTTAGGGGTGCGCCCTTTAGGGGTAGGAATTTTGAAAAAAAAATTGCAAAATCGGAAAGAGCATTCCCAAAAACCTATTCAAAGACATGCCACCCGACTTTGTAACTCTTATGGTTGCTGAGAAAAAAATTAAAGAAGAAATGCAGATTTCAACACTCTTTGGGGGGTGGCTCCCAAACGAAACACGTTGGACCCTCGGTTTATTTGGAAAAAGTGCTTGTTTTGATGCCGATTTTTTTTTCGAACGGTCGTGTAACACCCTGTAGAATTTATTGCCTGTAGTGTCAGTTTTTTATCACTGTCGGTTTAAGCGGAAATTGACGGAAACGACAAATTTTTTAATGGAACATCCTGTATTTTTTTATTTGTGAAAACCGAGGTGAAAACGTAATAAAAAATTGTGATGAAAGATAACAAATAATCAAGAAAAAAAATCTCTCTTCCATTACGCCAAGCCGCAATTTTGTCTCACTGGGTGGTGCTTTAATTCATAAAGCAGAAACATTGTTATTCGTATTTTTCATCGTAGTTTTTTCATTGAGTGTTTAAAAATAAAAAATATTTAGGATCTTCTATTAAAAAAATTATCAAAGTCCTCGTGTGAGATCGAAGGGACTTCAGCGCATTTTTGTGTGGCAGATCAGTATTCTATTAGCCACTTTTGACTCAACCATGAATAAATGATCTTGTCGAAGGATACCACATTCCCTTTGACGGTAGCCACTTCCGATGTCCCGTTCACCCGCAATTCGCGTTTGAAGATTTAACTCCACCATCGGTAAGATCGTGTCGGGGGCTACCACATTCCCTTTGACGGTACCCACTTCCGACGTCCCGTTCACCCGCAATTCGCGTTTGAAGATTTTTATCCACCATCAGTTAGATCTTGTCGGAGGCTACCACAGTTCCTTTTTCGGTGCATACTTATATTACACCCACATTTTGGTGGATCTCGCTAAAAACCTTCCACAAGATAGTACTTAATTTTTGGGGGGCACTTCGCATTGCTCGAGCTTCTATTGGCGACACGAGAAAGAGAGACAGCCATTCGAGATTTACGAAACGTTAAAACGCGTGACAGAATTCGCAACGGAAGGTAAAAGGTGCCCGAAGTTGACTACCTCTCGAAGACGCGCGCGCGCGCCTTGCAAAAGGTCGTTAATTTCGCCCCTAGGCCAAAAAACAAAATTCCGCCACGCAAGAGTTGTGCGCGTTTACAACATCTTTCTGACGACACCAATTTGAAAAGAATCGGACCAAAACTGTAGTTCTACTACAGTAGGAAAAAACGGAAAAACCTTCACGTTAGTATACTACGCTCGAGGACGACGCCCAGATGTCGCTAACCCCACATCATGTAGCCCTGTCCCCAAGGTTTACAAATTACACGGCCTTGTAGATACACGTACACCCGTTGCCTTTCTACAAGAGTTCTTCTACGCACCCACATTTGCTGCCAGCCAGCCAGCCGGCCAGCCAGCCAAAGCGAGATTAAAAGCAACTTTTTACAAATAAATTTGCAAAAATGCGCTAAAAACCAGTACATGCGCTTTTTGATTAAACCGGAAGTATTTATAGTAAAAAATGGACACAACAGCCAATCAATTCCTTGTTCTTTACGATATACCAAATTTGAAAGAGTTGATTTTCAGATAACTATAGTTGACCGTTTCGGGACTATTGTGTACTCCGTATTAGGTACAAACGAAAAGATAATGCCGTTTGCACTGACAAATACGACCTTAGCGTAGCTAGATATCCATTGCGACAATGGTTGCTATGGATTTTCGGCTATGCTAAATTTGTGGTACAAGCGGTTATTAATAGCATACTACCCCCTTAAGGCGCATTATTGCAAAGCAAATTAAAAGCAGAGTATAACGGCAATGTATGGTATTTTAATTTCCAAAACAGATCTGGACCCTGCCCTGCCCTACAAAACTCAGACCTTAGTTTTAAAAATGCTTGGGACGACATCTATTGTTTCTAATTATCTGACAACTAATTTACTATTGTCGCTTGAAACATTCACTTCGATTTATTGTTTTGCCTATAGTTTCCAGGAATAAGAAATTTTTATCGAAATAGCAGTACTTAAAACATACGGTAACACAGGCGGTTACCCTTGAATATCGACCTCGAATGAATGTCAATGCAGAGAATATTGCCAATACATGGTTAACCATAATAACACCCCACTCAGTGTGGAATTACAAGATATCTAACTAGGTTCAGAGAATGAATGAATTAAAAAAAACATTGAGATGACTCAGATGTCAAACAATAAATTGCAATTCGTTTGTTGTTTTTAGCCTACTTAAGGTATCCAAAATGACAAATCCCAATGAGTAAGATTTATGAATTATGATTCAACTTGCAAAATCATCGCCTTTAACTGAAAGAAACCCAAGAAATTGGAATTACCCATGATAAGAGTGTGAGATTAAGTGAGAGTACTAAAGGCTTAAAAGGCATTTGCATTTTATAATCCCATAATCCAAAATTATCCATAGCTTGCATTATTGAGCATGCGCAATACCTTTTGCGAGATAACGTGGGTATAAACAGCAACACATGCAATTTTGCGTACGTGACTATCATCAGGCTGGTGGTTCACAATAAAGAAAGAGGGAGCGATACGTGCCACCACAAGTGTAAGCGCGAAGGCAACAATCTCAAATTGATCTTGTTTATTTTCATAGACGGCGGGGATTTTTTGTAATAGTTACCTACGACGGCGACATTCAGACGTTACACAACATTAAACAAAAATATAAATAAAATGCACCACATTCGCACTAACCTTAGTTCGTCCATTAATGTTATATTGGCCAATTTTACCGTTGTTTAGCATTTTATTGGCTCGCATAATAACTAAATCGACTTGCGAAATGAGGTGTCCTATATTTTTACACGATTTTTCTTTTCCGTCGATCCAAGCGATTTGATCTCCGCGAATTGTTTTTAAATCACCGTGTCGTCCCGTGCTTGACACCAGCTGACCGTCTCTAAAAACCCCTTTTGTATGCATATCTATAACTTCACCAAGAACAGCTTTACCCCGTTCTTCACCTAAGAAATTGTCAACAACACAAACACCGTACGTATCCATGTCTCTGATAACGTTTCTGCACATTTCTTCCACTACATCTTCGTTATTCTTGTGAAGAAACGGTGGTGAATCGGAGTGCAATAAAATCTCGGGGAAATCTCGTACGCTTGAACGACGAGGGTGCACAATATTTTCTCCGCTGATAGGCATGGCCGATTTTGCACAACGCAATGCCTTTTCGGTGGCGGATTTTTCCTCGTGAAAATTTAAATCTAAATTTAAAGATAAACTTTCGGTATCGGCACTTAGTATCTCATTTTCGGAACTTCCTTCGTACGTTATTGCACTAATAAGATTGTTCGATTCACTAACCGTATTTAAAAAATTCCTTTCCGAATTAATCACCGCAGATTGTTCAGTCTTGAGGCAACTTATTTTGTGCTTTTTCCAGTCGTGTTTTTGGTGCAACTTCGAACAGTAGAATGTCGTTTTACAACGTGAACACCGGAGCAAATTCTCTACCCCGCCGCACACTGTACACGCATTGTTCGTGACTAAACTCATTTTTTTTCTCGCGGATCTTTATACCACCATCAGTTTCTGACATTTGTACTCGTTTACTTACGCTACACTTTTCAATTTCACCTTGCTTTACTTCGAAAATTTACCATAGGGTTCGCTTTACTTTTACAATCAGCTGTTTACAATATTTTCATTATGTTATACACGTTTGCTTCAGATTGCAATAGAGAATGCTTTCATGCGTAATTAGAAAGAAACAACTGTCATTTCTCTAAAATAAAATAAATCGTGGATGTGGTTCCCATATCGACTCCGACACTTTTATCCGGAAATTGCGCCTCAATTAGTCGTCAGTAGGGATCTTTGCCCTTCAAAAGGTATTGTAGTGGTATTTTTTTTAGGGTTGTTGAGGTCTTGGCCTTGAAACAAAAACCATATTTTCTACTTTGGAGGAGGAGCGCTCGCGCCGCCATCTTGGATGACAGGTACAAAGAATCGGTTTTTTTCAAAATAGGTCCGCAGCGGTTGATTGAAGAAGTTCAAACATAATGTAAAGAGGACAAAATTCCTCATATTTGTTGTACTTTTTTACTTGTTTTGTACTTCTAATATGTTCCGAGTAACAGCAACCAAACTATAAACATTGGAAAGATTGCCGGCCACAGCACACCTTGTGTCGATCTACAATCTATCTATCTAGATAGATTGTAGACAGGGATCAGGCGAAGTCACCGAATCGGTGGCTTCGGATCAGGTGTTCTGTAGACCGGCAATCTTTCCTGGCGAGAGGTTTACCTACAGTGATATTCATGTAGAAGTAGACATAGGGATTTCCTACGTCTACTTACTTACCCTTCCTTCTGAACTACTCACTGTCAAACCACTAACTAACTAATAAACTAACTAACTACACATTCAACGTTGCAGTTTTGCAGTTGCAAACTTGTTTGATTTCTTTTTAAATTTTGTTTGAATTTATAAGCCCTGCGTTATAACTCAACCCACTACACAATCACAAACACTCCTGCCTTACCTGGGATTCGAACCCAGGCCCCTTGTAGCCAAAGTTAGAGCTACTAACGTACACTCATCTGAGCTACGCAGGTTGGCGTATAATTATAATATTGCAGGAAATGTATTATAAATTGTCTATAATTATTAATAGAATTATTAGAATTAAATATTAGTTATGTATTAATGATGGATTTGTAATTCAATCCTTGAATCGATTACGAAATATGTGTAAGTAAAGCCCCTAGTAACTCGACATGACGCACCCTATATCTATCATTTCCAATGTATTGACGCCTTTAAATGGATACCACAGACACTCTCTATGATATTTATTGACAATTGACATTGACAAATAAACATAACCTCAATAATGTGTAACCGCATATTTAAATAATAATATGAAAATGGTTTTTCAGTATGTCCTACCCTAGTGTAATTTCGAAATTGCAATGGACGACACGTTATTTGAATTTTTACATTCCGAAGTAGTAAATTATGTGGTCGACAGTAACATTTCCAATAAGGATAAAGTAAGTCAATTCTTTGTCCTCTTCCTTCTTCCTCTACAACAAAGGTTTTTCGTGTTAATAGGAAGAAGATTTATCCAACTTAGAATACATCGGATTCTCAGTTGGCTACAAAATCATCGAAAGGTAACCAAAAAATAGAGTCAAGTAACGTGACCAAAATTTAAATTTTAAGATTAACAAGAGAGATGCCTCGTTTCAAGGATGAATTGGACACAATGAAGTTTATATGTACCGATTTTTGGTCTGCCATTTATAAAAGGCAAATTGACAATCTACGCACAAATCATCATGGCGTGTACGTGTTGCAGGATAATGAATTTAAGTTTTTAACCAGAATGTCTAAGGGGAAACAGTATCTAGAATTAGCACCTCGATATGTGGCATTTACGTGCGGTGTTATCAGGGGCACCTTAGCTAATTTGGGCATTAACTGTTTAGTTACTGCCGAAGTGCAAACTATGCCAGGCTGTAAATTTCACATACAGGTGCACCGAACATGAATATTGATTTTATTTTAAGTTGGTTGTAAGCATCATTGTGTAACGAGCTAATATATAATATCTAATAAGTATTAAATACTATGGTAAAATAACGTGAGCCTTTATGAATATACTCTTGCTGGTGCCATCTCCACCTTGTGGGTACTGTGTTTCCTATATTTTGATCAGTGGTGGTTGATTACTGTCTACTGTGTAAGTAGAAAAATGTATGAGTGTCTTCAGGGGGATTACTTTGAGAAAGAGGATTATTGAATTATGAGATGCAGAGATGCTATCCCTGAGGTCGTGCACCAAGGTATTGTGCGGTTTTTATAGATTTCGATGTAGATGGTACTTGGTGTACCTACACATGGTCACAAGGAGGATTTTGCAGACGCGCATTGATTGACGAGTATGTGTAAAGATTCGTTTGCTTTTAAAAAGTGTATTTACAATGGAATTGTAAACTTTTTTAATAATTCCCATGAATCAGTAGAGCAGCTTACGAAAATGGAGCAGTATTTGTGTTTTTGTCTTTCTTTATGTTGTGCATAATAAAAAATATACATACCTACAATATTTGGCTGTACGATAGATAAGATGTGGTCATTGGAAAAAAGCTTGGAGGCGCCGGGCATCGATCCCGGTACCTCTCGCATGCTAAGCGAGCGCTCTACCATCTGAGCTACGCCCCCAGTGTAGAACTCAATTAGATACCTAGTATGTATGTCCCAGAGATTGTTACATAAAAATATGATAATGAATACTTACGCATTACATCTTAGTAATACAAACAAATTTTTATTTATTATTATCTACAACTAATAAGTATCTAAATACACCGCAAACAATAAAGTAGGATCTTTTTCTTTCTGTTTTGTGCCAGCTGTATAGACTGTCATCGATACTGGAGAAGTCGTAGGTTGTATATCTACCAGGGGTAACGATACATTAATGAGTTATGGAGCGATCCGGGATGCGTAAATATATTGTTTACCACGGTACAGACGGCTCGGCCTCTGTACCGTAGTATAGAATGTTCCTGAAATATCGCACAAATGTCATATACATTGTTTACTGTGCTGCAGACGAATGGTCAGTGGTGTGCCGAATGGATGGAGAAGTTTAGTACGCGTCTACTGCTTCTAACTGGATTGTAAGATACACATACCCTTCTGCCAAGAAGAAGTGCTTGTTTTTGCAATGGAGATGCACTAGTACAGTAGGTTTCCCAAAGTTTTAACTGTGTCAGTGATATAACGTTAAAGGAGGGAGGTACTAAAAACGCCACTTCCAATGGCATCAACACTTTATCAACCAGTTTTACTGAAAAAAACATCCCAATTCTCTATCACAGAAAACAGTATAATCCTCGAAAACATATGACACGATTTGGATTTATCACGTAATTTTGCAATGTGCCTACCGCAGTTATAAAGTATTTCTAGGTACCTATAATAGCAATTTTATATGTTATGCTGTAGCATTGAATAAAAATACTGTTTATACCTATTCAATGACTGTAGTAAGAAAGGGATAAGAAATCGCCGATATTTTGATTACATTATATTTACTACGATATACAGATATAGTCTGTAAAATGAGTAAGTTTCGATTTCGGATTAGCGCTTAATTAACGCACTCCATCAGTTTATATATCTTTGCCGTTCTAACACATAATAATTGTGGTAGAAGACAAGTGGGTAGCCAGTTTTGTCACCGCCGGTGGTGAACTAAAAGGACGCTCTACGTTCAAGGAATTTTAAATGGAAATACATGCACCAAAAAGAGATATCAATACGTAAGTCATGCTTTGGCACAACTCGGGAAACGTCCATTTAAAAGCGCAATGCAGTGACACTTAAAATGTTTTGCTTATTTTTCGGTACTGCAGACAGAAATGATTTACAGGTTGATTATAAACAGTAGGGTAATGAAATCGTAATCGGGAATTTTGTAATTTGCATTAAACCCAAATCGTTACATTAGTAATACTAATAATGTGCAATTATACGTATCTATTAATAATCTGTTTGCTGAAATTTTGTGAGCAACCCTGGGTACGTTCCGGCTTTTGCCCACAGCCTCGGGTAGCGTCGGGAAATAATTGGCGAGCAAAGAAAATTAAAAGTGTATTGTCTAAATAGAAATAAAAATATATATATACAAAATAAAATAATATAAAAGATTTCCGGAGCAGTCCTCGTATTTACTTGGGGAGTACTGCCATCTGCCGGTAGTTATCTGGCCCCAGCGTGTCAGCTGGTTTGCTGTCAATGCCGTTTTCGTGTCGGACTGTAGGTTAATTTCCACGTGCAGTGCTGTCTAGAATGTAACAAATTAATTGATGCGGGATTGAGGGCTGCGCCACCCGAACGGGGTAACCAACAGAACCTGCGGGGTGAGTGTTCGAACTGTAACAACTAACCTTTCACGTGACGGCTTTCAGCCCCTTATGGTTAACGTAGGCGGGAGCACTGTGCCCCAGGTTTAGGCAGGACGGGGCGACGGGAAGATACTACGGAGGTGTACTTCGTTTAAAACCAGGAGTCACGCTCCGATTTTGTTTTGAAGACACGGACAGGTAGGAACGTACGGAGAGTAGCTGGTAATCTTGAGGAATACTTGTTGTAGTAACCCGTTCGCTAGGGAGTACACCTAGGAACTGGAATTACTCGGGGAATTGGGAACTGGTCAGAGTAATAGAGGTAACGGCTTGCACGTTTTAATAAAGGGTTGAAAGATTGTTGTTTTAATGACACTATAAACACTCACTCACCTCGACGGCTAATTACGATTAACCCCCTAGGGCTAACGGCAACACACTCAACACAAGGAACGACAGGGGGTGCAGGTTAACAACGGTTTTACAGGAAATGGAACGACGGTTAAAGGTGCAGTAATCAATGACAGGTAAATAAGGCTGGTTAATAGCAAAAGGCACTGGTAAAGGTAGAAGCAAAAGTTACAAACACTGGACTGACACAGGTATATATATCTTGGAGATCTGGTGGGGGAAGACGATTAGGAGGGGCGAAATTAAGTGGAAATATCTGGGGGAAATCTTATTTACTGGTTTGGGCAGATTATTTCCTCACCCTTAATTTCGTTTCCTCACATTTTATGCATTCCCGAATTTGATTAACTCGGTAGAATTTTTACCTGGTATACTTATGTATACCGGGTGGTGCCTAGGGCGACGCAGTATAGGGATTTCAATGGTAATTTCTTTGTCAATTACTAGCTCCCCTAATTATTTTAGAAGCAATAATCTAAATGTGTTTTTTTTAAAGAAAAAAATACTGCATCTGTTCAGCGTATACAAATACATACAAATTTTGAAATTGGCATTAGTTTTACATTTATTCGAAGTGTTTACATATGGAACTTTTTATGGGAGTTGCGCGTGGAAAAATAACTCCAACTACAGTGGCCACATAGGTACCTAGTTTCATATATGGTTTCAACGCGTGCGTGAAAGTGGATTACTTTGCTCGCAGTTGTTGATTCGTCCACTTATCTTCATCTGATTAGTGCGCACACTCGCCTGGGGCCTGCGCAAGATTCAATTGGGGTCAATTATCCACAACAGTACTGTTTTCCCTATTTACCACTATTTACTATATATAATTCTGTGAGAACATATGGTGGAGTCGAGTCGATTCAATGCGCCTCCTGCTTAAAAGTGATCACTTACTATCCTTTAATGCGAAACTAACCGGGAGTTTTTTCCGCCGCGGAAGCAACGCAGCGTTTTACACGCTGGAATGAGATACACGCGCTTATATGGAATAAACTAGACGGGCGTTTTTTCCACGCTTCTCCGCTCTGGCTCCGCCAGCGTGAGCGGATTCAACGCAACCGGACGCGTTTTTCCGCTGCGATACGACTGTCCTAGCGTTTATTTGGCAGCGATACATTGTGAGAGACGTATTCCTTTCCGCAGCGATATTATCGCTCCCGTGTAGTTGCAATTATTGTAGCGGAAATTACGCTGCGTTGATTCCGCGGCGGAAAAAACGCCCGTCTGGTTTCGCACTCACGGTTAAACAACGGCTTAGCCTACTCATTCAAACGCAAACCTATTAAAATGTCAATTTAACATTATGCTATAAAATAAAACATTTGAGCACTCTTAAGTAAGTACGTTATTATTGACAGTATCCGCGACTTTTCCTTCACCTACCGAATACCGATCACGTTTGAGTACGGTAAAATCGTCACTTGACTTGATCATTGATGCGACACCTACACGGGACACCATTGTCTTTTTTTGCTAGACTTTAACCTTGAACGAAATTCGTAACATTGTACCCATACCATTACGAGTGATAGACCTACTAGGTACCTGCTATACGAAACCATAATAAGCATTTCCATTTGCAATGTTAAAAACTCGAAAAGTAAATTTGCTGCTGATGCAACAGATATCAGGGTTACAAAAGACGAATCGTTTTGTAATTTCACGCAAGTCAAGTGGTAGTGGTGAAGTAGGTATCGTGTAGCTATGAATGACTTGAACTATTATATCATTGACCTGTTCGATAAGCTGCTTTCTTATGGATGCGCGGTGTAAAGGTCCATAATATCATTGAATAATTTTTATTCAATGATAATACTGACCATACAACATAACAACAGCCGAATTTAGACATGCGTAATTGTGGTTAAATTTTCGTCACTTTTTTTGTGATTACGTAATTTCGGCGAAATTTTAAATCGTACTCGATTATTTACAAAAAACAGGTAGGTACAACAATCTTGTTTTGCAGCATATTGGGACAACGGTTTCGTTATTACTCTAAAAAGTACAATTTTTTTCAAATTATCTCGCTCTTGACGTGGTATTTGATAATCTACAGCATAATATTTAGGTCATTATAGATTCCTTTATCACGTTGCACACACGCTACGAAAAAGAAACCGACCTAAAGAACGCAGTTGCAAGTTCTTTTATAAATAAACCGAAAAACGGAAAAATCCTCAAACGCGCACGGTGGTACGTACGCAAACCAAAGTGCATCGTGTATTCGAGGATTCGAGCATCATCGCAATTCCATTCCAGCGCTACAGACGTAGAGACGTCCTTGTCGGTACAGCTTCTCGATTAAGAACATGGACTTCCAATTCGACCGACCGGATTTACCTTCGAGATGCACCTGGAAAAAGGGAATGGACCAGAAAGAGAGTCCACACACGATTATCCCATTGTAAGTTATTTATTTACATAAAATTCGTATTTACAGTAAACTCAATTTTAGAACTCCTCCGAAAAAAATCCGTCCAAATGTTTTGCACGTTATTGGAAACACGCCAATGGTTAAACTGAACCGTATTCCACAAGCGGAAGGAATTAAATGCGAAATGTGTAAGTAACCCCTTTTTATAAACAGACCGAAATGCACTTTGAAGTGTGCCGAAATCGTTGGTCGTTTCACTTTATTAATAATCAATGCACTTGCACGCTTCACACGTATTAACAATTGATATGAAAAGTGAAACGCTCATACTTCTCATCTATCGATTTCCGTGTATAAATAGTTCATCGATGCAGGACAATTTTTTGTCAAACATGAATAATTTATTTAATGGTGTGTTGGTTTGGTAGCACTATATAAGTAAGTGGTTTTTGTAATTAGGGAAAGTAGACCTGTTGATCCACTGGGTAACAATGCCATTATGTCAATTATACCTATATTCAAGGTTCTTTCAATTATTTGTAAGTGATCTCAAATTATTGATGGAAAAGAAAATCTCCATCACTTTAATTTAATGGTAATTCGTATGATATACTTATTCCCATTCAAATGTAGTAACCATTGGTATTGGTATTTGTACTTGTTGCTAAGCAAAGTGCTGAAAAATACAAATAAAACAAAACAAATATATACCCACCATACCAGTACAAAGCAAACCGTTCTAAGGTCAAGCGTAATTATTGTAGATTTATATTTAGGTAGTGTATAGGTACAAACATTTCCTGAGTTTGCTTTGAATTGATTTGAGAATTGAGATATAGGATATAGGGAAGTTGAAAGTTGGAACGAATCTTTCAGCATTCGGATGTGGGTGGACGATCGATGCACCGCCTGAAAGAGAAAGTCTATATATAGCTTCTTTATTCTTAGGTTATTAGGATAGGAAACTAAAGTAGTAGTAGTAATAGTACACTACCACTGGTAGTACTACATCATTGTTCTAATCTGACCACGTACATTAACGTACCTGTGTGCACGAACCAAAACAAAATCAATATTTCGAAGAATTTAATTCACAAACATGCGTGCTTGTATATGGACGTTCATTCACTATAGTTTCGGCAAAGAGTAATACTCTTTGGTTTCGGTTTAAAAATAGCTACAACCAGAACTAAACAGATATTTGTAAATAAAGTTGTATCCAGCCACAGATTATTGCATGGTATTAGTTGCCGTCGAAATATGTTTCTATGATTTCTACTTTTTTCGCTATTTGGTTCGTTATGGTGTCGAGTCTTGCACCAAGGAAGGAATTTTTTCTGTACCGCTTACAAAAAAAGATATTGTAAAAAAACCAACAAACCGTTTTTTACATGTTCCATAATTTTACACTTTTGCCGTATAATTTTGTATTGCTGTCTGTCGTCTGTCTGTTGGTCTGTCCGTCTGTTCCTTTGTCTGTCTGTCCCTCTATCTGTCCGTGTGAACGATAACTTTGTTTAGAAATGTCCAATCGCTTTTACATCTCCGTTAGTTATTAACTGAATTGCATGAAATTCAATATGGGCATAGCTAGCCATATAATACGCAATGCCAAAAGTTAAGTCGAATTGATTCAAAATTCACAGTGCCCTTTTCGCATCTCGACCATTTCTAAACCAAATTGCAAACTTTTTTATTTATAAAAGTATTTAAATGAAATTTGATACATAGGCACTTGGAATAAAGGAAAATCTAACGCCAGTTTCAAATTTGGTTTTGCGCATGCGCAGTGCCAACTTTTTTATTTATGGAAGAATTTAAACGAAATTTGATACATAGACGCTTCGAATAAATGAAGATCAAACGTCAGTTTCAAAATTTGGTTTTGCGCATGCGCAGTGCCAACTTTTTATCTATGGAAGCATTTAAGTGAAATTTGATACTTAGGCGCTTGGAACAAAGCTAAACAAATCTAACATTAGTTTCAAAATGTAGGTTTGCGCCCAACTGAATTAGGTATTTTACTAAGATATGGTGGCAAACCTTTAACTACAGATACTTCGCATAGAAGTGAATCTAGTGGTGTAACGGGAGCTCTAAATTTGGTTTTTTATTTTTTCAAATTTTATGAAGATACCTAAAGTTGAAATTTTTTGAGATTTTAAAGATTATAGTAGTTTACGTCAGCACATATAGAGTACATAGCACCATTGGAAGAATTGCAAAAAAATCTGCAAACAGTTAGTGGAATTAATGATTTGTCTTTTCTGCGTCATTTGAATTTTATGGGCCATTGTATTTTTATGGGTTCCGGAAATCGGGGAGTGATTAAGTCGCAGATAACAGCTAACGCATTGATTATTTTAATAATGAATAGGGGAGGCATTCGCTTCGTGGTCACAAGAGTATTCACTGCGTGGTGTACGTTCAAGTTTGATTTTTACCTGTTAAGTCGCGAAAGAAATCGTCGCTCAATTACGTTAATTACGTTCGGGTGCTCTTATAAAGTTAGTGCGAGCATTGCCAGTGTGAAAGCTACTTTTTGGGTCATCATTAAACCAAATGGTGGCAACTGATATTTATTCTTATAACGAAAATTAAAAGGTACGACATTTATCTTTAAAAACGCCGACAGCTCCAAATTAATTATTTAAACATATTTGTTGTGGAACTTAATCACAAAAAAGGGGATTATCGTGGAGCTAGAAAGTAGAGAAAACGTGCTTGTTATGTAAACGTGTTTCTGTCACATAAAGGAGACCCGTGTAATGGAGATCAAGGACGAACTAATTCAGCGCGCCCGTATATTTTCGCTTACAATAACAGGGATACAGAGATAACAGTGGGCCGCCCAGTTTCGTTGGCATAGATCCGAGATAACATAAATAGATAAAAATGAGGGCCTGCGATTGGTGAAAAAGAGACGCTGGTCGCAAAGTTTACCTACGTTTGTTATCAGTTGGCCCGGCAGCTACAGCTTAAGCAGATAGACGAGCATCCGTCGCACTAGCGTATAGCCTGCGAGACAATTTTTTTGGTCTATACCACTGTAGCGTTGAAATATGTATGGTGTGAAACCTTCAAATTCGGATATTTCGGAAGCTTGAGTGTCAGAAGAGGGTATACTAATGCTGATCATAAGATGCCTAAATTCTCATTGTAAAAACAGTTTAGAAATGAAACCCATCATCACTATTTAATGACCCATTAATCTTTTATTGTTATTACAAGAACATTAAATCCACGCACCGACTACTACATCCATTTCTTGAATATAATAAAGCTAATAATTATTCGAGTAATTATTCCAAGGAAATTAATTGTATCAGTTCTGGTCAATGAAATATTGACAAAGAAAGGAATTTTATTATTCGTGGCCTTCCAGCATAATAATTCGTTTGAAGTAAACAAGATGATCGCGACGGATATTTTTCGCTTCGATGTGTGAGAATTTGTTTCTATTTTTCGACGTTGCAAAGGTTACCTATTGTTAAACTATACTGAACTGGGACATGGGGTTTTCTTGATCTGGTTTTGGAATTTGTAGATTTTTAGAGAGACAAACAGAGCACCTATTAGAAGTTGCTGTATAAAATAATCCTAGGAAGCTTGGATATCTCATCTGTTGCGAGACGAACATTATCTTTGTGTGTCCAGAAATACTACTACAATCCAGACAGTAGATAGTTCGCCAGGAAAAGAACCTATTCAAAAGCATATCGCACGTACATGGGTGGTGCTAGGGTGGTACAGGGCCAGCTTTTCAGCCACTTCTTTAATTTAGGTTTACAGCAGAGCATCTTCGTTTTGTGAATTTACCATTTGGCTTATGGATGTTGTTCGCTGTTGCTTCACTAAACTGAAAACTCGTGGGGTCCGAGGATCATTAATTCTGTTAGCGACTGTATTTACGTAATTAAAGATCTTACGACATTGTAAACAAACAACTTGTACAAGTTTACATACTATGGGTGAACTATGCGGAAATTGCAAGCGTGCACATTCTTGACCTTAACCTTTTCTGTTTACTTGGCTCTAATAGTCACAGAAAAGGAGCTTTTGCAAATGTTAGCGATTCTGTAGCACTTAGCCCTCCCCCCCTCCAAACTTTTTTATACTGACATAAGTATGCTGTGCTGACATGACGGTATTGTATAATGTATAGTACTTCGATTGTACATATTATTTTCACAGTCTGGGCATTTTTAATTCTGGAGATGTTTAGAAACGTCAAATGAGGGCTAAGTGAACGGATGAAATGTTTGAAATTGCCTGGAAGTGACGCTAAATTTGTAATTGGCCTATCTGGCATAGGTATGTTTACATTTTGTCCAACATGCCGTAAGTAGCTTTCATGACCAATTAGATCATTGCCAAACTGTAAATGGCGGAAATTTTGAGCATATGCTCTAATGGTTTTCGTTTTAGAGATTATGATTTTGTCTTTCCTTTTTTGTATTTTTCGTTAATGTAAGCTTGTTATTGTTATTTTGTTATCGTAGTTGATACAGGATGTTAATTAGTAAACAGTAAATGCAGTTTCGGGTTAAACTAAGAGAAATAAAAAATTGACATTATAGGATAAGATTGATTTGCAGATAACGGAGATATTTGCCTTTTTGCGTGCCCTATACAGGCTGTGCCACGAAGCATGCCGCTCGAAAAGGGGATCGTCTAAAATATGTTCAAGTTTGTGGCACTTTCGGTTATACTATACTGGAAAGAGTACAAAAAATCCCCGTCTTATCGTTGTCTCCAGTATCCACCACTTCCACCATAAAATAATCCCCTTCTTTATGAGTTTTCAAATAAATCGCCAATCACAATTAGATTAGATGAATGTCAGCCAGCCACGACGGAACGCGCCTTCGTAACACGTGGATCTGCTTATCAGCCGAACAAACACGTGCGTTAATTATATTTTGCCTGACAATAAAACTCCTTATCGCAACGGTCAGATATAACTTTTTTAACGCAAATTCGACCAGATGTGCCTTATTTATAACACCTTATCTAAATTGAACAAACATCTACACAAATTTCTAAAAGGAAAAACAAATAATGAAATACAAATTCAAACGAAACGATCACATTTTGTGTTTATTGGTAAAAAAACTCACCAGATTTGCTCTTAAAAATTTAAATTATTTCACGTACAAGGTGGCTGAACATTATTGAAGGTGCTGAAGCCGAAAATACGTCTGCATGACGCAGCCGTATGTGGGCTTAATGAGGAAGTATGACAAAAAGGATTTCGCCTTAACACTATTATTCGTAACTCGCTTTCTCGTTACGAAAAATAGTGCTTTTCCCAACTGCTTGTACAAGTAACTATTATAAATAAGAAACTTAGCATTGCGTAGTCTGCGCAAATGTCTCTATAAATAAGAAGTGCAGATTAGTGCAGATTAATTAAACTGGTTTTATTCCTCATGGTACTCCAACGAAAGGCATCAATTTCTGTCTCTTCCTCGACCCCTCATCGTGATCGGTTATAATTCCTCATATCTCCAGAGTGAGGTGTCATACAAAAGGCGGTTGGAACGTCTGGGCGGAATATATCCATTAGTGATGTCAACACTTTAAGAGCGAATATCTCGAAAACGGTGTATCAGAGGAGAGGAGAGCGGAAGAGGGTAAAAATTTTAAAATTTCGGTTTTCGAAATATCGCCTTAATATTTTTTTATTAGAAAAGTGCTATTGGGTAGGGTTTTTGGAATATTTGTTACTCAGTCATGACTCGCCCTCGTTTCTGTAGTGATCGATTGTTTAATTTGTCGCCATTAGTATATTATCAAAATTTCAAAATATTCCGAGGTCTCGTTTTCGAGAAAGAGATAGCCGGCATACGTCGTTAGACACCCTGTATGTCGGAGTGTAACGGTTTTTTCAAATAGACCAATTTTAAGGCTTTGTAGATACTATGAGCCTCGAAAATACAATAAAGCATTTTTAGGAGAGTCTTTGAGACTGTATGCCACCCCACGTCTTTAACGCATTTACAGAGTAGGTACCTAGGGGCTCTTTGAGACCGGTAAACTTTTGAAAATTCTGAAGGACCCTAGTGAGTTCTTTACTTCTACAGTTTTCAAGATATTTACTTCGTGCTTTCTGCATTCCGCTGTGTAAAGACATGGTCGGAGATATGTACCATCTTGGTTGAATCATGATAAAAATGGTTATTTATAGATCAATTTTCTTGGGAAAACGTCCATTTGTGCCCAAATTCCGCATTTTCGAGTGCCGTGTACGTTTTGACCAAAAGATGTAAGAAATCGTTATTTATGCAACAATTTCGGTGGAATAGATTTTAATTTTATTCTACCCACCGGCCACCAGTTTTCAAAGACGTTTCAAACGTAAAATGCATCTTGAAATGAAACATAGTAGGTATCTATTGGCATAGTGTAGTCTATTCTTACACTATGGCCTATGCTATTGGTGATGTACGAAATGTTTAGTGTGGTTGAAGATTTTTGAAAGGATATTTGAACTTTTGAACGGAAACGATAAAAAAGTGTTTGCCTTATCAAATCGCATCAAACATTAATGTGTCGTAATTTGAACCTTTTCTAACACACTTTCGGAATTTTATCCCCAACATTTTTTACTGCTGAAGTCCATTTTGTGATAATCGTGATTTCCGCACAAACATTTCACTTGCTCAACTGTCTTCGGTTCGCTTAATAAAATAATGAGATTAATTTTAAAAGCATAACTGGCTAGCCCTTCACGGCGTAGTTGGTTAGGATGGACGGTACCAGCTCATACACCTCCGATTTGAGTAAAAACAGTCACAATCTAAGGGGAAATTTGGAGGTTTTGTTCTCACACTAAACACTGTTTTAGCCAACTGCTGCTACTGCATCAGTTTTATGCCGGATTTATTAATATCTCTCGATGGACGTGTTTATTTATTTAATCACAATGTGAATCTCTAAAACTGTCGTCAGTGACCTTACTAATTTCATCATTCACTTCCATAAAAAGTTTAATTTGCGCATACTGGTTACACGTGGGGTTTCTTGTTCGATAAATCACGTTTCAAGTATGCCCTTCCATATATCGATAAAGAAATTCTGTTTTTTTTTGTTTATTCAATGATTCCCATAATAAGAAAATTGCGCTCAAAAGAAACCTTTATGGCGTAATTACCCGCAACTACGCGAGCTTACACGTGATCGAGCGAGTTGTTAGTTGACGGGTCAGAATCGGTTCAAATAGATACGGGATATTCCAACCAAATAATCAGTACCGGTTATTTTACAATTTTAAAATATTGAAATCAGTAATTGGTACATAAACAATCAAGTCAATACCAAGAAGGCATTATCGTTATCAGCTTTCTTTCCATATTATCATTGGCATTTCGGGCCACGCATTATTATCGAACTCATACATGAAGGTTCGGTCCAAACAAATACTTTTTCCAAATTAATCTAGTGCCCTGTGTGTAGAGCTACTCTAAAAAAGGTCTTGAGATTTGCATTTTTTTCTCGGCAACCATAAGGGTTACAAAGACGGATCTTTGAATAGGTGTTTGGGTAGACCTTTTCCGAGTTTTTAACATGCGAGTATTTCGCAATGGTGGGTTAACTGGCGCTGCTTTGGCTCAAACCCGTGTTTACAGGGGTTAGAAACCTTTCTTGTGGAAAATGTATTTTATTATCTCCGGCATAGTAAAAATTTTACTGTAACAATTCATGAATCTCCTTAGGAATGACTAAGTGCACATTTTTTATACAGATTCCTCAAAGACGGTTTAGTTGAAATATTCTCCCATTCACAACTGATTTTCTCCTTTGGAAGGCAGCAGCTATTTGCAAATTAGGTGATGGAACGCCTTGATCTGGTTACTCATGAAAGTGAAACTCTCAAAATGATTGACGAATTTGAAATCGGCACAACCGAGTTTCATGTACTTCACAATTTATTAGTTCTAATTTAGTTTATTTATGGGAACAAATCCAGTATGGAAATGTCCAAAATTACCCTTATTACTTACGGTTTGCATCTTCCGAAAGCACAAATTAATTATTTTTAACCTTTTTACCTGTTGCCGTATTATTTATATTATGAGCCCTTCGTATAAACAAATTAGATGCCCAACCTAATGCTCATTTGTGATTCTTACATTTCCATCAAATCTTCGAACTCTAACCATTTCGAAACTAGATCCTAAACTAGAGCTACGGACTACGGACTAACCGGTAGAAAATATGGCAATATCCAAAAAGATCGAAAACATTCCATCTAAACCAAGCTCATACCTTCTATAGGACCCCCCCCCTCCCAAACACCGGAAGGGACAGCTGGGTTTTTCAGCTCACCCGACGAATTCGCAAGAAAGCATTCAAAAATAAAAACTTTTTTAAATAATTTCGCCGGTTCCTGTCGTCATAAAAATATAAGAATAGTCTTAAAATTCATGTTAATTAAGCGCGTTTCATGTGACACCCAACACATGTCATACGGATGATGTATACTACAACACATTTACTTAACTAGGGTTAATTACACCCACTTTATTGACCGAGCTGAAATTTCTAAATTCGATAATCTAATTAACACCTATTGTTACATAGAATTTTAGGTCAATCGTAAAAGGTCTGCGATAATGAGATAACTGCACGGCCTTACGGTTTTAATGCTTGATTTCGCTTAACATTGGGAAACTAAAATCGGTTAATAATTATTTAACGGAGCTGAAATCATACTACTATATTAATTTTCTTTCCTCCTCCAATCAAAGGGAGGCTGTAAAGATAATTTAAATATCGCGACGGGAACGGTTACAAACGGCAAATTAGTTACAGAAGCTGGTTTTCCTTCTCGGTGGCAAAAACACGGCTCTAGAAATCAAAGCAATTGCTTTTATCTTAAATACCCATGTGGCTTTGCACATTTTAAATAGTCATATCTGATTGCAGTGTTAAGAGGCGAGGGAGTATACATTTGCATGTTTTCAAGCTAACAAAGTTTTTCTACCATGGATCAAATTTTTACCAACGACAGATTATTTTTAAATAAAAGGTCGAATTTGTCTCACGCGTCTTTACGTATCAGTTATCATTAACGATGTTGCTGGAGAAAAACTGCATAAAGCGTTTAATTTCAGTGGCCAAATGCGAGTTTTTCAATCCCGGCGGCTCCGTAAAAGACCGGATTGGTTTTCGAATGGTAGAAGATGCCGAAAAGTCGGGCGCACTTAGACCGGGTTTCACAATCATCGAACCCACATCTGGAAATACCGGCATCGGATTGGCTATGGCGAGCGCGGTTAAAGGTATAAAGATGACCTTTAACAGTTATGTTGAAATAAATCTATTCAGGTTATCGGTGCATTATTGTGATGCCTCAAAAAATGTCCAACGAAAAAGTGAGCGTTTTAAGATCTTTGGGAGCTGAGATTATTCGTACACCCACCGCTGCCTCTTTTGATTCACCCGAAGGACTTATAGCGGTGGCTCAAAAGTTGCAAAGGGAAATACCAAATTCGATTATCCTGAACCAATATTGTAATGCGAGCAATCCATTGGCGCATTACGATTTAACTGGCGCGGAAATATTCGACCAATGTGATGGGAAGATCGATATGGCTGTAAGTATGCCATGTGTCCTAGCACTTTTTCGAGGATTGTACTTTCTATAAGTAAAGGAGAGAGATCAGTTAAAATGGTTTGATTGTAGATTGTAGGAGCTGGCACAGGTGGCACTGTAACGGGTGTTGGCCGTAAATTAAGGGAATTGTGCCCGAACTGCATTATCGTATCAGTTGATCCTGAAGGTTCCATATTGGCCGAACCGGAATCGCTTAACCAATCCGACACTACATTTTATGAATTGGAAGGAATTGGATACGACTTTTTACCAACCGTTTTGGATCGTTCAGTTGTTGATAAATGGTATAAAGTTGCAGATGTTGATTGCTTCAACATGGCGAGAAGGTTAATAAAAGAGGAAGGATTGCTGTGCGGTGGAAGTAGTGGAGCTGCAATGACCGTCGCATTGAAAGCCGCCGCGTCATTACGCGCCGATCAAAGATGCGTGGTTCTGTTACCGGATGGAATACGAAATTATATGACTAAATTTGTGTCGGATCATTGGCTGGAAGCAAGAAACTTTAAACCAGTTATCAATGAACATGGTCACTGGTAAGTATCAAATATATAATTTTAGTTCTCAGCAATGAGATGTGGATGATTCTGGAGTTTGAGAGATAGTGTAGTGCCCTTGGAACATCTTTGCGGTGCCAAGCGTCCCATCCCATTCTTGGAGAAAACGTATCACTTATCACTTTTTGTGTTAACGTTTTTAAAGTTTTTATGTGATTTTAAACATGCTAGGTTGTTGATTTTAATTGTTTTAGGTGGTGGGATGAAACTGTGGCAAAATTAAAGATTGAACGTAATTTTACCATCTCATCCAAACTTACATGCAGCGAAACTATTTCCCTGATGAAGCAAAAGAATTATACTGAAGTTCCAATTATAGATGCCAACAAGTAAGTGCGGACATATGGCACGTTTGCAAGCTTACGACATAGAAAAACAGCCCAAAGAAAAATCTTTCATTCATAAAACATCATGATACTCTTAGCGGCTGTACTTCTCTTTCCTTAAATTCTGGACACAAATTTATTATTCTCTTGCAGCACATTTTTGGGAATGGCCAGTATACCATACATCATGAACATGTTGATGACATGCAAAGTGAAACAAAACGATTTAATAACTGAAGCCATACAGATGCAGTACCGATCGGTAGCCCTCAACTCTTCATTGGGATTATTATCTCGTATATTGGAAACTGAACCGTATGCGCTTGTTGTCCAAGATGAAGCATGTTGTAAGTCTCATTCACAAATAACATTTGGTTTTGTATGCAACACACCCTTTCTCCTTTGATTGATGGGTTGGGTTGTTGCTTACCAAGTTTATTTACTTTGTTTGTTTCTGTGAATATACTTTTTTTTTAATTTTTAGTGCGCCCTAATGCAGTTATCAAAAAGGAAAGTGTAAAGGGTATCATTACTACAGTTGATTTGCTCAATTATATAACTACTATGGCGAGTGAAAAAAGCAATCAAGTAAATGGGTCCATATAACAAACATTCGCTAGGGAACAAGAAATGTGCATTCAATTTTTATCAATAATAAAGATTATACACTGCTTACTTTTGATTTATGTGCATTTCCTTTAGCAGGTGTCTGATGGTTTAGATCTCTGTCATTACTAAAATCACATGGTCAGTTACAGTTTTAACATACAAGATACTCATTATGTATGGTATATAGTAGATATTTCAGTAAATATCCCAAGTGTACAAAATTTTTCTATATGAAAGTTTTTTAACATTTTTTTCTCCCATAATAAGGCAGCATTCAGTTGTTGTTATTTCAGAAAACAAATGACTAACGAAAAACAATTGAATTTTTATAAATGACAGTGCACATTTTCATTAAGCTTTATTGATAGAGATCTCTTTTTGATGATGTACATGTTACTACCATCATTTGAATACCTATGATTACTTATTCAATGCTACCACACAAGAAAATTTTTCGAAAAAAAAAACAATCGCATCAATAACATTATACTATCCTACACCAAAATAAAACAAATCGACGTGTAGGTACGTGTCTTACTGAACCGTGAAGACAAAATGAAATTAGCAATAAAATGGTAACAAACGTACACGGCGCATTCATTTGTTTTCTTTGATGTAGGATATCTAGATTTAATGTTATTGATGTGGTTATAAGTTTTGTGAAAAATTTTCTTGTATCTTAGGTACTAACATGTTAAATCATCCAAAAGAGAAAAGCAATGTATCAAATGAGCCTAATGAAAAGGTGAACTGCCATTTAAAAAAATTCAGCTGTTTTTCGTTACTACTTATTTGTTTTCTAAAATAAAAATAACTGAATGCCGCCTTATTATGGGAACTTTCATAGGCATATAAAAATTTTGTATACTTACATTCGATATTTAGCGAGATGTATACTATATTCCATACATACTGCTTTCCATTTGAGTGAAAGAGGAGCTCTGAGCTGTACCATGCAAGATGTCCTGTGTTCCTTTTAAGAAAGTTTCAAGCTCTGACGCGCTCGAAATTGGATTTCCCTTGTCTCTTCATGCACCACCTATTTGCTTGGGGCTTGAAACACTTTTGTGGTTATTTACGTACTGTGAATATCAATTCAAATGTGTGCAAAATGAAGAACTTGCAAAACGAGCTGCTCCGAACGAACTGCATCAGAGCTTCACGCACTCAAATGGAAAGCAGTAATAATGGGCACCCTTCTATGCAATATGTAACAAGCCTATTGAAAATGGGTCAAATCCAATGATCCATACCACTTCGAGGGGCTCTGCCGCTTTTTTAGATCCATTTTAGGGGTTCATTCCTCCTTAAAGATGAACAGACAGGTGGCACGTACAGGGTGGGGCAGAGGAACTTGCTGATTTGTATTCGGCCTCGGCGCCCTTGGGCGACGGTTGCTCCGACAAAAGTGGGAATAGGTATATTTGAGAGAAGGGCATATAAAGTTTTTCCGCCGCGTAGTGTCGTCACCATCAGGGGGTGGACGAAGACGGAACGCCCCTTCGCCGTCGAGGCATACTTTTATACGTCGCTCATCATAGCCACGCAACGTGCATGTCCCGCTCACGTGACTTTCGAATATGTCATATATCATCGGACTACGCATGTCCGATGTCAACGAGCGGTACGATGGCAGTACGTACTTGACGATCAACAATAAAAGAGCTATCGTAACCAACGTCCACGAATTACTATTTATTATTAACGCCTCTACCCTCGGCTAACATAACGCAACCGAAATACATTACATGGTGGCATACGGTAAAACCGACGACGCGTGTCTATAAAGTGATAACGTCGTACGGACGAAGATAAGCGAATTCGGCATTCGCGAATCGCGGTTTACGTGCGATAAGAAAAACGGTAGCAAACAAGTGTGCGCGAGGCTTTACTCGACGCGCCGTACGTACTTACTGGAAAGTAGGGTTTACTTCTTTCAAAATATTATAAAATCGTCAAATAATTTCGTTACTAAATGGCGGATTCGGCAATAACACCGAGAATAATGCACTTTAAAGGCAATCTTGCCGCAAATTGGAGATTATGGAGGCAGAAATTTGATTTATACATGCTTGCCAGCGATAAATCAAAAAAGAACGATGAAGTTAAAGTTGCAATTTTACTTAATTTTCTGGGCGACGAAGGACTTCAAATTTTTAATACCTTCGAATTCGATGGAGAAAGTGATCGGAAAACATTATCGGTAGTGCTACAAAAATACAGTGAATACTGTGAACCGTTAAAAAATCTAGTTTATGAACATTTTAAATTTTTTAAGCGCGAACAACTAACGGGGGAGACGGTTGATCAGTTCGTCACAGCCCTTAAACAACTTTCGTTATCGTGTGAGTTCAAAGAACGAGATGTAATGATTTTGGATAGAATTGTGCTTGGAATTCGTGATACGCGTACACAAGCAAAATTGTTACAAACAGATGGGCTAACGCTGGACAAAGCGTTATCTATATGTCGCGCTATCGAAAGCAGCTCGATACAACAAAAAGAAATCGCGGGCGCTTCAAAAAACGAACTATTAGTGGATAGTGTCAATAGTTACGGTCATAAACCAAAAAACAGCGAAGTTTTTAATAAAAATAAAGACAGATACCACTATAAAAATAAAAGTGTAAATTTTTATAATGGAAACTATCCGAGAACGAGCCATTCGGAGGGTAGTAATGACAACTATCGAAATTATCGGCAAAACGCAGGTAACAAGTGCCAAAATTGTGGCATGATTCATCCACAAGGTAAGTGCCCTGCTTTATTTCGTATCTGTCGTCGCTGTAATAGGAAAGGTCACTACCGCAAATTTTGTAAAAGTAAACACATTCATGAAATAAACGAATATGGATGTGATTTGTCGCAGTCGGATAGCGATTTTGACCCATTATCTGACTACAATTCTGAATGTGATGAAAATTCGGAGATTGTTTGGACAATTTCAACAATTGAACCGACAAGCGTTAATAAAACAAGCCATTTAGTGGAATGGTATGAGACAGTTTTCGTTAAATCTTGTGACGTGAAATTTAAAATTGACACTGGAAGTCATGTAAATATTCTAAATTACACGGACTTTAAAAGACTAGGTGTTTCTCACAATATGATAAATAAAACAGGCTCAAAACTTTCTTCGTATTCGGGTCATAATATAGAGACAATCGGGTTAATAAACGTAGATTGTACGTATAAAAATGTTATGCATAATCTATCGTTTTATGTTTTAAGTGCGCGGGAAAACTCTTCGATTTTGAGACTTAAATCGTGTATTGACTTGAACATTTTAAACAAAAGTTCTACTTCATCCCCACAATTAACTGTATGTTCCACTCAACTGAGTGACAAAAATAATGTGATTTCCAAATAGGTATAAACAAATGTTTACGGGAATCGGTAAGGTGTCAAAAACATATAATATTACGCTTAGCGAGGACGCTATTCCACACATAGGTATCCCCTACGCGAAAAATACCATCAGCCCTGAAAAATAAAGTCAAACAAAAACTCGACGAAATGGTGGCTGAGAATATTATCGTTCCAGTCACCGAACCTACTGATTGGGTGCACCCCATGTTATTGCTCCCAAATCAAACGGCGATATTAGGGTATGCATGGATCCCAGATCTCTCAACACATACATCAAACGAGAAATTTTCCAAATTCCAACCCAAGATACGCTATTTTCGGAACTATCGGGGGCGCAATATTTCTCATTACTAGATGCTTCAAACGCATTCCTTCAAATTCCGCTAGATCATAAAAGCTCACTTTTATGCACGATATCTACTCCTTTTGGTCGTTACAGATACTTACGGCTTCCATACGGTTTAAGCTCCGCCTCGGAAATTTTTCAAAAATTCATGTTCGACACGTTGAATGATCTTACTGGCGTAATTGCCTATTTCGACGACATTTTGGTTTTTGGAAAAACCATAGAAGAACACAATCTTAATCTGGAAAGAACTCTACAGAGAATTACAAAATCGGGATTAACGTTAAATTTAGAAAAATCCAAAGTAGGAGTCACCAAAGTTAAATTCCTAGGACATAATATAAGCGCGAGAGGTATCGAAATCGACGACAGCAAAATAAAAGCCATCAGTGAAATGAAACCACCCACTAACCAAAAAGACCTGCAACGCTTTCTTGGCATGATTGTGTACTTATCAAAATATATACCTAACCTATCTACAGAAACTGCACTTTTATACGTAAACTGCTATCAAACAAAGTAGAATGGCAATGGTCCTCCAACGAACAACTATCTTTCGATAGACTCAAGCAGTTAGTGACGTCATCGCCAATATTAAGATACTTTGATCCTAATATTGACATCGTTCTCTCTGTGGACGCTAGTCCTTTCGGCATTGGCGCAGTCATCATGCAAAAAGGACATCCAATAGAATATGCCTCAGTATCGTTGACTCCCACCCAACAAAGATACAATCACATCGATAAGGAACTTCTAGCCCTCGTATTTGGTTGCGAGCACTTCCATTATTACCTTTTTGGCCGAAAATTTCAACTAGAGACTGACCACCGACCTTTAATAGGTTTACTCAAAAAACCTCTTGACGAAATGTCACCGAGAATACAACGATTGGCCCATAGACTTCTGAGGTATACAATACGTTCCTGGAAAAAACCAACAAGTTGCCGATACCTTAAGCAGAGATCCCTTAAGAGAACACATCGACACAGACTACCTTGAGAAAAACCTAAGGGTGTACTCAGTTATCACCACAACACCCGAAAACGAAAGACGACTACAGACAGAAATTGACCAAGATCCTGACCTCCACAAACTCAAACATTATGCACTAAACGGTTGGCCTACTCATAAGTGCAACCTACCTTCATCTCTCAAAACATATTGGCCTTTAAAAGGAGACATATATCTTCATGCAAACATTCTTTTTTATAAAAACAAAATAATAGTTCCAAAAAACCTTAGGAACGAATTTTTAAAATTGCTGCACAAATTTCATCAAGGAGTGGTCTCCACAAAACTACTCGCTCAAGATTCAGTATACTGGCCAGGCCTCACCGTTGACATCGAAAATATCGTATTAGCTTGCCTAATTTGTCAAAAACATTCGAGATCCAACACCCGAGAACAAAGTCAGCCGAATAGAAAACCACCGCCAAGCGATCGATTAGAAGAGCAGCCATCGACCAGTGACTGTCAACCATCGACCAGTGACTGTCAACCATCGACCAGCAACTATCGACCCTCGACCAGCGACTGTCAACCATCGACCATCAGCGACTATCGACCCTCGACCGGTAACTGCCAATCATCGACCAGACATCAATTGGAAGAAGACTTGTATGTGCCAAACCCTAACAGTGACGTGCGAACCGTAGCTACGCGATTCGGGCGTGTTATTAAACCACCTATTAGACTTGACTTGTAATTTGTAATTATTTATTTAATTTAAGTGTTGACTTGTGCAATGTAATATGTTTGCATGTTTTGTTTTGTTTCAATTTTAAAAGGTAGGGCATGTCATATATCATCGGACTACGCATGTCCGATGTCAACGAGCGGTACGATGGCAGTACGTACTTGACGATTAACAAATAAAGAGCTATCGTAACCAACGTCCACGAATTACTATTTATTATTAACGCCTCTACCCTCGGCTAACATTACGCAACCGAAATACATTACAGAATATTGCCACATTTAGTAGATAGGGGTGCGTTTTCATTTTGCTTTTTCATAATAGGTACGATAATATTTCATGTGTAATCAAATAAGTAGGCGTGTAGGATTCTAGGAACCAAGTTCAACGAGGCCCTTTCACTTATTCGATTGTATCGTACTGAATGCGTATTATTGCCGTATTCAATAAACGCAAACATGCTGAACTGCAGTCTCCCTCTGCCCCTGCCGTGATAAGGATAACAATTTTGCCTTCACACAAAAGTATTGGTAAAATCACAGATAAAATACCCATTTATCTGTGGCAAAATTAAAATTAGGTACCTACATATTTTATATTGATAATGATAGGTACCTGATGTAAGTGAAAAAGGGCGGTTATTTGGGTAGGTAGTAGAGTAGTAGTATATTGTAATAATTTTTGCTTTTGGCCAGGTACGTGAACCAAACATTCGAAAATGGAGTTTCTAAAACCGGGGGAAGTATCACAATGTTTATACAATCAAAATGATAAACAAAGTCCACATCCCAAACTTAATAAGTAAGTACATATGTATTTCATTATATAGACATTAGACTTAGACTAGAATGTAATGGTACCCTGCGTCAGGCGTCTTCACTAAGGTCGGTGACCCTAAACTCAATATCTCAATAGCTAATCCAGTGGCGCATCGAGTTTGGATTTGATAGGGGTTACATAACGGGTTGGTGTTTTTATAATTCAATGTGTTAAGTTTCAAAAGTATAGTGGGTAGGAATAGGTACATCGAAACTGTTATGTAATTAATACCCTAATCCTTCACTCATCGGTAATAATGCCCAAAATAGTTTGGATCCGAGGTAAGGGGGAACAAAAATAAAATCATATGAACGAACCTCGATACTTTCCCATAAACCACTCTTTAAATGGAAATAACCTAAAGTTCACGTACAGGTTGAAACAAACGAACCCAACCCCTTCCTCTTCACCTGAGGACTCAAAAACTGCGATAAGCCGTGCGTAGTGTACGTGTTTTATGATTATTTCTTAACCCCATCAGTAAACCGCCCCTATTCGCTATTCAGCATATGAAGGCGAATGAATACAGGGTGTGCCACGACGAATGCCGGCGCTCTATATCTCGAAAATATAAGACCTCACAATATTTTGTGAATTTTAAAATATAGGTACTAGTGTTACAGATTAACTACTAATGTGGATAACAGGAACGCGTCTAAAATATTTTGAAGTTAGTGACACTTCCGGTCATACGGGAAGTTGATTCCAACTTGTTTATTTTAAATGGAAATGTTACGTAGAATCAAAAAGTAAAATAATATATAGGGTGTTCCGTAGCCGCCTTTGTGGGGCACCCTGTACTAGTCTAAAAGATGGTATAACTTTCGATTTGTTCAATAAATATACTCAGCGGTCATCTGTAGATATTTTCAGGGAACACCTAGCGGCTGATGCAGTGTCAATAATCCACAATCAGCCGCTGGCAGTCACACTACTGTACATCGTACAGTCCGTACAGATTAAAAACAATACACCGACAAATGTAAAAGTTGTAATAATCCATTTGTTTACATGTGATTTCAATTTGCTTTTGTGCGAAAACAAAAAAAAACCAACAAAAAAAACAACAATCTAAACAAACAAATAAGAAATGCAAGTCTGCGCATTCGTCATTATTTTAAGTCTTTTAGTCTACGACGGACACACAGTCTATTTTTATGAAAGAGTGCACGTTATATACTTTTTGGTTTAATTTATTTCCGGCCCATTAGTACTTAAAACACAAGTCGGCCAGGTCATTCAGAATTGTGACTCCTTGCCGGTATACTCTTAATCTATTAATGGTTTCTGTGGCCTACAATTACAAAGAGCATTATTATGTCTATGTATTCAAATACTTATTCATGGGAAATGAGTATCTAAGTGTTAGAGACGTGAAAACATTCTTTTGGTACAAGTCTAAAGGTAGGTTAAGTTAAGGAATGAAAACGATCACTATTCGTTTAATTACTCGTTACTGAATCGCGATAAATTTATTATATCCCAATCCGGCTTGAAAGACCATTTTTAATGTACGAAACTTATTGTTCGCAATTAAAGAAGTATTTTTAAACTTATTTATTTCTGACTGATTCTGACCGTACTGGTCGACGGTTACACGAATAGTGATCGTTTTCATCCCTTTACTTAACCTACCTTAAACTTGTATGATGTATGTAAGAATGTTTGCACGTCGCTAACTGTAGTTAAGTATAGGTAAATGCTTCCAAAATGAAAACCAAAAATACAGGCTAGCACTTATAAATGAGACTATTACTCCACTAATTCGTTACTGAAAATTACAAACATAATTTAATTTATTTATTTTCACATTAAATCACACATTCGGCTTGCCCAAATTGCACAAGAATTTAAATTTACTAGGTTCGTAAACACACGTGACTAAATTTAAAAATAATTACAAACACCTTAAATCTAATATTATACCCTAACTTCAATGTTAATCAGCACACGCGAAAAAAATAAAAACAAGATACGAAGAATCGCATAGGTACGATTTTCAGTAGGGGAATTTTGTGCCACTCCGCTCGTATTCGAAAACCAAACTGTTGATACGTCTCATATTCAATAGCACTGATCCTTGAACTCATAAAAATTATCGATTGGCGAACTTTTGACATCGCTATTCGTTTTCTAGTTAGACGAGGAACAGACGGACAAAACCACCACATAAAAAAACATTCCAAAAACTGGTCCCCTACTGCTCTATATTAGTTTTGATAGTAGAAAGATTCACCTCGGCAAATTCTCCCCCGAGAAAACTCGCCCCACGGTAATATCACCCCCGGAAGATTCACCCCTACAATATTCGCCCCCGGAGAATTTGCCCCTATAAGATACATTTATAAAACTTCAATTCCGGAAGATTCGCTCCCGGAATATTGAAATGGGAAGATTCCCCAAACATATTTCTCACCGGTAAGATTCGTCCTTATGAATATTCACCGTTAAAATATTTACCGAAAAGAATATTCGTACATGAAGGATTCGCCCTTGCCGACAAGTCGCTCTAGAAGACTGGTCATCCGAAGGATCGCCAGACTATATTTATCCCAAGTAAAATTCGGTCACGCTCACGAATTCCCTTTGTTTTTAAGTGGGCGGGGTTTTAAACAAGGCTGCTGTACCAACCTAACCCATTATCATTTACAAATAGCTATGCCCGAACAGGATTCGAACCAAGGACCTTCAGTATCGCAGTTGAGCGTCCACTCCTCTGCGCCACATGGGACAGCATCATAAAATAACTACTTATGCGCGATTATACAAGCTTTCATAATTCATACAACAAACATAAGTTTTCTGTTGTTGTAGAAGTACATATTTTGTTATGGTAATACTGTAATATGTATCTACTGTTGCTAAAAAAAAACCCATTTCATATTTCAATAATTTCAGGAAGCCTTTCCAGAAGATTATACCAAATATTCTTCATGCTATTGGTAACACCCCGATGATTAGATTGAACCATATACCGCAATCATTTGGTATTAAATGTGAAATTTGTAAGTATAGATTGCATTCCCTCATGTTACGCGCCAAATAATATCTAGTTCTTCCTTTATGGTAACTCAACGGCATTTCGAATATGCATAGGTGGCGAAAATGTTTGTATGTCTAAATTTTAGTTGCCAAGTGTGAGTTTTTCAATCCTGGAGGTTCAGTAAAGGATAGAATTGCAATTGCAATGATTGAAGACGCGGAAAGCAGAGGACTGCTTAAATCAACCAGTACGATAATAGAACCAACTTCAGGAAATGCGGGTATTGGGTTGGCGGTAGCTTGTGCTGTCAAAGGTAAATACACCTATATCTACCATTTGCTAAAATTTGTAAAAAATGTAACGAGTTGGTCAGAATGCCATGACATGTTACCAGGTAAGACCGAATCCAGAAGGAAATGGGATCTACAGTCGGATTTTCCGACTTATGTGCCTTATCATTGATGTGGTAATATTAATAGATCCCCATCCCTTCCTGGGGACGGGCCTGTACAACAAGTCACTAATTTTGCAGGCTATAAATGCATTTGCGTCATGCCAGACAAAACCTCCATGGAAAAAGAAAACATACTAACATCCTTAGGTGCAAAAGTGATTCGAACCCCAGACACTTCGGTGGACGACCCAGACGGTGTTTTCCATATTTCCAGAAAACTGGCAGCTTCTATACCTGATTCAATTATCCTTCAGCAATTTAAAAATCCCATAAATCCTTTGGCGCATTACCACATAACCGCCATGGAAATATTTGACCAATGCGATGGCGAAATCGACATGATCGTAAGTTTTTGCGCTGGAAAAAATTTTTGATAAAGTTTCGGTAGGTTATTGGTGTAGGATCAGGGGGTACGATGACTGGAGTTGGACGAAAAATTAAAGAGTTACTCCCTAACTGTACTATTGTCGGCGTGGATCCCGTCGGCTCATTTATCGCCGAACCACCTATTTTAAACGAAACAACATTAAAGTACACCGAGGTTGAGGGAATAGGTCACGATTATTATCCCAAAACTCTGGATAAATCGGTGGTGGACTACTGGATTAAAGTTACAGATAAAGAATCGCTACATATGGCTCGAAAATTACATAGGGAGGAAGGAATCTTGTGTGGTAAGTATTTATGTAGGTATTGGACACATTTTGAGTTACAAATCAATAAAAGGATCTAGTACCGGTTCTTTAATGAGTGGAGCATTGGAAGCGGCTCGGAATTTGAAAGAGGGACAGAAGTGCGTTGTAATGTTTCCTGATGGTGTTGGCAACTACTTGACTAAGTTCGTGTCTGATTATTGGATGGAGTCAAAAGACTTCCTACCTCGTCCAAACATTTTTAAACATTGGTAAATTGTTAACGAAATTCATTTCAATGTAATTTACTGGTGTAATTAGGTGGTGGGATATTACAGTATCAAATTTATCTCTAGCGAGAACTGAGACCATCTCTTTAAACATGACTTGTGGTGAACTATCTAGTATGTTGTACTCTCAAGGAGTGGATGTACTTCCTTGCGTTGACCAAAACAGGTAAGTGACAAAGTAAAATCTAAAGCAGAGCTAAACTGTCATCTATCTATTGTAAATTGCTTTCAGGATTAGGTATCGCTATCTGAATTTAGCAATGGTTACTATTTTTGTTCTAGAATACTTCAAGGGATCATATATGCAAAAGATGTAACGTGTAAACTACTTAACGCTTCTATCACTTTGGGTGATCCAGTCCGAAGGGTCCTTTCTCAAAAGTACAGAAAAATAACGGTCAATTCATCTTTAGGGGAATTATCGCATATACTTGAGAGAGAATTAGTCGCCGTTATTGTAGAAGAAAACGGTAAGTATTACAAATTACAAGTACTGTGGAGGATGAATGAAGCACTTACTTATTAAAATCATGCTTCGTTCGTTTTCGAGTTGCACTTATTAAAATGTTTACGCTGTCAATTTTCTAGAGCCATCACAACCAATCATTTTTAAAGGATTCGTTTTTGCAAGTAATCTGGTGCAGTATATAACGGAAAATAGCATCGAATAAGTATTACGCCATTCTTTTTCATCTGCCTGAATGTTCAACAGAGATAAAAGTTTAAAATAAACTAAAATTGGTCTCTATGAAGTTTATTTAAAATGTCTATGTCAGCGCTTCTAATAATATACCTACCTATTTTTTGAAGTGACTATATGTTTTGGACGGGAGTAAAATCATCTCATGGTAGTATATAGCTCTGTTCTGTGGTCCTCATGCGTAGCGCTCGGTAGCCGTAAGCGAATTCGGTCACAGCCCGCTCACCACTAGCGGATAATGGCCCGTGTTGCTTTGATGTTATCGATGGTGTAGCCGTAAATGTTCCAGTCTGGGAAGGGGTTATGAAAAATAAACCGATACAACGAAATACCGAAGGATCCTCAGTATTACATTTTGGTATTACCATCATTACGGACGGACGACAGTACAAAACTATAAAGCCTCTGAGGGTGAGGATCCTTAATAATCACATTTGGCAATTATTTTGTTTGGTATTTCGGTAAACATGTTTTTTTTCATATATTTATTGCTTCCATGTTAAGTACTTGAATTTTGCTGCCGCGTATACTCGGTATAATTTTTGTTTGTACAATTTATTTCTCTACACAACCAAAGAATAAGTTTCTCTTGGACACAACACGGCCATCAGCCGTCCATACGGTGTTCACTTCGCTACGACAATACCATTTTTTTCGGACGTCGTGGTCGTCAAAAACTAAAAAGTCATCGTCATAGAAAAAGGTATATATAATACAACCAAGACATCAGTGTCGGTTATTCTGGCGGGATCAGTACAGTACAGTACAATACAGAGCATATATTACCACCGTAGGTACATCTTCACCCATTCCTGTCAGTTTTTGGCGTATTTTAGACATATAAAACATTCGTGGATTGGAAGGATGTTTTATTAAAGTGGAAATAATCGTCCCTAAACAGGAGTGCTAAAAGACTACAGCATTGGTGCCAATAAGCACCTGCAAATCAAGTATGTACTACTTACATTTAAACAATCTATTTGCAGGCTCCATTTCCGAATAAATATATCGAGATACTTGTGTACTTATAGGAGTTACTCTGAAGGGCGAATCTATGTAAAATATTTTCAAAATGGTCGCACTTCCGGATATACCGGAAGTAGCTAGTAACTACGTCATTTTAAATGGCAACCATTGGTTTCTTTTAGTATACTTAAAAAAAGGTAAGTTGCATACACCGCACCTATTTAAAAACTTCAAAGATTAAAAACTGGGTTTTTTTTTAAATGAAATTGCCATTTTCTTATTATTGCATTAGATACCTAGAGAAGCGAAATTGGCATATTTTGATAAGTAGCTATATTTAACTAACAGTTTCTGAATTATTCCCATTTAATTAAATTGATACCATTTTTTCCGGATTTTCTTTTGAGTAGTCGGCCATGATTTTATGACAATTGAATTTTCAACAAATCAAGGAAAGGATTCTTTAATTAATATCATTGATTCTAATCTAAATAAATAATTAATAAACAAGATAACAAGGAGATCAAAATTAGCGCCTTCGTGTTTCAAACAATTCAATACGTTTTCCCGTAGAGTTTTGTATTACTTGTGATTTAATCGTTTGTAGTGAATTGTTTACTCTCTCTAGATCATGTCTTCTCTTGTTGTGGAAGGCCCCGGCATAGACTGTGTCTTTTACATATCCCCATAAAAAGAAATCTGAGAGGGAAAGGTCCCGGGAATGAACAGACCTTAGGTTTCCGATTCAATTCCCTGGAAAAATGTAAAAACACGGAAATTATGCCTGCATTATGTGTAGGTGCACCATCTTGTTGACATAGCAACATATTCCTTGCTGTTCAACAACAATACCTATTACTATGTCCAGGCAACGAATGAATATGCCCGGTATGGTTGGAAGCGGAAGGTTTGACTTCAGAACCTTGTTTGGATCCCTTAGGAGGTAACCATACTCAAAGTCCCCAGGATTCCGACTGGAGCCTTCCCGGGGGGAGGGGCGCAAAGGTCAACATTTTCTGTTTTTCGCTGATATCTTGAAAAGGGTGCGTCTAGGAAAAAATTGTTTAAGAGCAAAATCAAAACTCATAAAATTGTCTACAATTTTGATTGTATACACTTTTTCGAAATTCCCAACCGTTTCCGCGATATAAGCTCCAGAAGGCCGGAAATTTTTGAAAAATTGTTTTTACCCACGCGTTTCGTCAAACATTCCTTATATCCTGTGAACCGATTATCTGAGAAAAAATCCGCCGACGAAAAAGTTGTAAAACATTAAATTTCCTTTCCGAAAATATGGCTCCTTTCCAAATTGTCGTAACCAGTCAAAAGTTACAGCAGTTTTAAGATTTCCTGAAATTTTTCATCATCTTCTATATGCAACAATTTCAATGATTTGTCACCTACACTCTTGCTATTTTCCACAATTTCGACATCGTATTTATGTCCTCTTCGCCATCTTCCTCTTCCTGGAGAGGTATCCCATTCAAACAATTTCCGTGGCAATTGTGGCAGATGGTTGAGCATCGCATGGAGGCCTTTTTGCACCCACATCTCGCAGAACTGCAGTCTGTCGTGCATCTGCAGAAAATACAGTTTCCATAAGGTTTGTTTTGAGAGAATCTCGACCGTATAGAACGGGTTTTTGCATTGACTTCAGGTGCACATTAAATACAACTACTATCGGTCGCGTTATGAACTGCTTTTGATTTACGACTTATGGCCTTAAATGACTTACATTGGTGAGCGTACAGACTTTACCTCGCCTTGCCCTCACCTCGAGTAATAATCTTCGATTTTTTTGTCTAAATTACCCACTTGGATGCCTATTTATTGTCCTTATATCATAAATGGAAGTTAAAATGGAAAATAGCAGGTGCGTAGGTGAGAAATCATTGAAATTGTTGCATATAGAAGATGACGAAAAATTTCAGGAAATTTTAAAACTGCTGTAACTTTTGACCGGTTAAACGATAATTTGGGAAGGAGCGATATTTTCGGAAAGGAAATTTAATGCTCTACAACTTTTTCGAAGGCGGATTTTTTCTCAGATCATCGGTTCACAGGATATAAAGGAATGTTTGATGAAAAACGTGAGGTAAAAACCGATTTTTCAAAAATTTCCGACCTTCCGGAGCGTATATCGCGGAAACGGTTTCGAAAAAGTGTATACAATCAAAATTGTAGACAATTTTATGGGCTTTGATTTTGCTCTTAAAACAATTTTTTCCTAGACGCACCGTTTTCAAGATACCTATCAGCGAAAAACAGAAAATGTTGACCTTTGCACCCCTCCCCCCGGGAAGGCTCCAGTAGGAATCCTGGGGACTTTGAGTATGGTTACCTCCTAAGGGGTCCAAACAAGGTCCTGAAGTCAAACCTTCCGCTTCCAGCCATACCGGGCACACCCCCCTATTAACACTCGTTGCCTGGACTATACGTAAAATTTCCAAATAACGTTCTGTATTCAAATTTTCTTGATACACATGGAAACACAAAGTCTTGTTATTTTTATTTTTCAACGTACAAAACACATTAAAACTCCAGAACCCTTGGAAGTGTAGGTACTTCTCGATTTAAAAAAGGATTTGGATCGCACCAGTAATGTGAGTTACGGCGATTAAACATGCCGTTCAGTGGTATAGTTGTTTAGGGTTTTATGGATACACCCTAAATCCAAAGCCGTTTCCGCGTTTCATAACGAATTAGTGGGGTACGCCGTGAAATATCCAAGGACATTAACAATATTAGGCTCATTTCTACATATTTCACGGCGTACCCCACTAGTGCTCTATTAGAGATAGGTACCTAATTGTTTTGGGGGTACAAATTTTCCAAAATTCATACAATTTTGTTCCGCGTTCCCCGTTTGCCGCGATTCTGTCCATTTTGTCCAAAAATAACAATTAAATTCCAAAAATCTTCATAGGTGAAATCACTGCGAGCCGTTTTTCGATTATTGAAAAACTTATGTCAACCTTTAACAGGTGACGGATTAATGTCAGTAGATTTCTTTAAAATTCGATTGTTATAAAATCATAGCCGACTACTAAAAAAAATCCAAAAAAATGGTATCAATTCAATGAAATGCGAATAACTGAAAAACTTGTAAAGATAGCTATAGGAACATGAAATATCAAAATATGCCAATTTCGATTCTCTATCTAATGCAATAGTAAGAAAATGGCCATTTCATTTAAAAAAACTGAGTGTTTAGATTTTGAAGTTTTTTTAAATTTGGATCTCCATATAGGTGCGGTCTTACGCAACTTTATTCTGAAAGAAAGCCCTATTCTTTCTCTATGCACTGGAAAAAATGGGTTACCGTGACTAGAACCGTTTACGAGTATTCAATTATCAAGGTATCGTCTGCATCCGCTATTTTTTTTTCTTAAAGTCAAAATAACTTAAAAACCATAAATGGTAGATATCGACATGTGGGTATCAAAAGAACTAAAATTTCACGTAGAATCAAAAAATGCAATAAAAAATAGGAGTTGCCATTTAAAATAACGAAGTTACTATAGCTACTTCCGCTATTTCCGGAAGTTCGATCATTTTGTAAATATTTTACATCGATTCGGCCTTCAGAGTAATATTCCTAAGTAAAAATTTTCTCAGAAACGTTTAACTAAAAAGCTCCCAAAAAACACCTTGTCTATTATAGTAACAATAACAATGCTATGCTACCCGTGTGTGGAACGGCCGAATCCGAACATCCGAATTCATATCTGGTGACTGGTTTACGTATATAATAATGGCCCCCCAAGGTGTGTCAACGCCATAATTCAAGGTCAATTGCTTCTATAGCAGTGGCTATTATAATTCATAAAAATGAAATCGCCGACATGTGGTGTATAACTTACTTATATCTAAAAATAGAACGATTTCGTTTGATTATTATTGTAATATTTAATACATTTATTTCTGTGTTTTTATTATGTACAAACCTGTGGCTTAGCTAAAAGTATGCGACCAAGATGACTCGTGAGTTTGTTTCTGTATTGCACACAGCACATACCGACAATGTTTAGGTAGGTAGGTACCTATTTACTGTATTTATCTTGACAACTGATATCGGCACAGTTTACCAATTATTGTTCAACAATGTATGTATTTATCTAGACATGGGATGAGTGAATTAAATGAAAGCGTAGTGGGTCGTGGCCTCTGCTGGCGTCAGTAACGAGTGACCAATATTTTCGGTAAGTTTTTTAATTTTTTAATTGTTGTTTGGAAGCATTATTATAGAATATTAGGTTATATCAATTACCAAACGTAACCTTATGCGTTATTTTACTCCTGGTTGCTTCGAATCAAAAATTTCTTCTGATTTGTCAATCATAGGCGGTAAATCATTATTCATAATCGTTAATATAGTAATAGTAAGGTGTAATTATGAAAACATTAGTTTCGGGTGTGATTTAAATGTGAGATTGTAACATTGTATATTTTATCTTGCAGGTTTTATTGTGTAGTGTCTCAGTATCGATTATCCACTCCTAGTACAAAATGGAAGTTATAAGACCCGACCAGCCATCAAAGTGTTTGTACCACAAAGATAAAAATGCACCAAATCCGCATGGAGAATGTAATGTGTAAGTGATTGAATGCAGGTTATTGTTTTTACCGTTTTTGTCAGTGCAGAATTGTAATCAGTCAATGTTTCTTGACTTACAGATAATGTATTGGCAAAGGTCAATATGAGTAATTTATAGCATTTTTGTTGCCTAAATTTATGATAAGCTACCTACTGCTACATCAACTTTCAGAACATAAAGGGCAGCAGTCCCAACGAACTTCATATGGCCTTTAGGAAGTCTCGCTTTTTCCCCCCGTACCTTGTTCCTGATAAATCCCGTTCCCGGTAAAATCCCGTTTTTCACGTTCCCGTTTTAATTGCCATTTCGGAGGTGTTTTACTAAATCAGAAACCTTCGCGGGCATACGTCCAACTATGCGTCCAACCATTTCATCGTAATCGAATGTACGGTTTAGTCAGGCATAAGAGATACATATACATACAAGTGACCATTTTGATTCATTAGTAATGGCGCCATCTACCTATAATTAGTTATATTGCGGTTTAAAATGACGGAAAAGAGAAATATTGATTTTTTACGTCTTTTCGTACAATTTTTCGAAAATATCTTATGCAAACTTTGTCCTGATAATATAACAAAGACAACAGAAGAACAATCATATAATTTGATCCAGTTGTTCAGAACTTATGCGCATACCCTACATACATTTCGGTGATTCATTTCGATTTATATAGATGGTTTTATGCCACTCTGTTTCTATGCCTAGAAATTTTAATTTCATCTTTTTATTTAGCATTGATTAATTGAATAGAATACGTAATAATTTGCATGTAGCTTTTATAATTCATAAAACTTATGTATAATTTAAGTGTGTCGAGGTGCATCTTCCATCCAGTGGATAATTTGAAGACTTAATTAAAATTAAATGCTGCCATAATTCCACTTTGCGCTTGTGTTTTAATTGTAGCATTTACGAAATTAGGTGCCCGAGTAACGCTAAGTACCTGCTTAAACTCTAGCCTTTACGGAACTAAGGGTTCGAATAACGTCAATTATTGGTAATTGAAATTAAGTTTGCCTAAAATATGCGAGCAGCTAACGTAAATTATATTAAAAGTACATTTTTAACGATGCCTTTTGTTGTATTTTACTTTATATTTAAATTGAAGCATTGAATAACAATTTTTCACTCAACGACTGAAGTAATTAAGGTAAATTTGTACCTGTTGGAGTGGTTGCGAAACTTACGGCAGCTTCAAAAAGGGGGGTTTTAGCAGCTGTAGGCGTAAATTTTGGTTTTTGGTAAACAGCAAGTCATTTCGGCCCTCACATACTAGTTTCGTACCGTTACGTATGGTTACGACTTACGACGCTAGTTTTGAAGCGCGGAATTTGTAGTTACTACATAATTTGGAAATATTAACATTGAAACGGAACCAAAAGCCACATATTTTGTAAAATCAAAACCAAAATTTTCTAAGCCCAAAGTGACTATCTATTACAGTTCGTCAAACATGGAACTTGCTCTACTTTAGCGATCATTTGAAACAACAAAACCCAAAATTGAATTCGGGAAACTGCATTGATAGAGAAAAATAAAATTGGCTCTGTTGGAAACCACGGTTAATCCTTTGGGCAAGGGTTATTATTTATGACGTGCACTTTGTGTAAACCTTTTACGATTACATTTTCAAATTGTACTTTCCTTTGTTTCAGAAAAACAATACAGAAGATTAATCCGAATATCTTACACCTAATTGGCAACACCCCACTAGTTAAACTCAACCGAATCCCTCAATCGCTGGGTATTAAATGTGAGATATGTAAGTACCATATTGATGAAAGCGCATATAAATGTAACAAATAACTTACTGTCGAATGTTTATTTATACAGGGTGTTACACGACCGTTCGAAAAAAAAAATCGGGTTGTAGAGGGCATCAAAACAAGCACTTTTTCCAAATAAACCGAGGGTCCAACGTGTTTCGTTTGGGAGCCACCCCCCAAAGAGTGTTGAAATCTGCATTTCTTCCTTAATTTTTTTCTCAGCAACCATAAGAGTTACAAAGTCGGGTGGCATGTCTTTGAATAGGTTTTTGGGTATGCTCTTTCCGATTTTGCAATTTTTTTTTCAAAATTCCTCCCCTAAAGGGCGCACCCCTAAACTAGGGTGCAAAAAAAATTCTGATTTCGACGAAATTTGGTATCTGGGGGTTTTTTAACATGAAAATCACGAATCTGAAATTAGTTTTTGAAAATTCGAAAAAAAAAAGTTCCACTGCAATTCTTGGCGGGACAACGAAAATAGAGATAATTCCACGAAATTTGTTGTGTACATACTAAACGAGTTAAGGAACAAAACTGTCGAACAGTTTTTTTAAAATAACTTTTCAAACAAAAGTTATACTCATTTGAATGTTGGTCCTTCGGGTCGCGAAGTGTCCCAAGCCTACTAGTAAGCCATAATTTCGCATGTGTTGGTCGACAATGTCGCAAAAACAAAAGATTAACGGTTTGAGTCGATATTTTGTTATTTGGAATTAATTCGGTCATTAAATGATTAAAAAATTCGATGTATCGATTAAAACACCTACAAAGGTATCTTAAAGCGCTGATCGATTGTTTATTATCTAAATAAGGTAGGGGAAATTTGTCCTTAAAAGGAGCGTGTTCTTTTGGAAGTTATTTTTCAACCTAAGATTATGAAAATTTTTGATCATAGTGAAAAAGTATCATACGGAAAGTGATTTGACTTTTTCCCCTACCTTATTTAGATAATAAATAATCGATCAGCGCTTTAAGATACCTTGGTAAGTGTTTTAATCGATACATCGAATTTTTTAATCATTTAATGACCGAATTAATTCCAAATAACAAAATATCGACTCAAACCATTAATCTTTTGTTTTTGCGACATTGTCAACCAACACATGCGAAATTATGGCTTACTAGTAGGCTTGGGACCCTTCGCGACCCGAAGGACCAACATTCAAATGAGTATAACTTTTGTTTGAAAAGTTATTTTAAAAAACTGTTCGACAGTTTTGTTCCTTAACTCGTTTAGTATGTACAAAACAAATTTCGTGGAATTATCTCTATTTTCGTTGTCCCGCCAAGAATTGCAGTGGAACTTTTTTTTTCGAATTTTCAAAAACTAATTTCAGATTCGTGATTTTCATGTTAAAAAACCCCAGATACCAAATTTCGTCGAAATCAGAATTTTTTTTGCACCCTAGTTTAGGGGTGCGCCCTTTAGGGGTAGGAATTTTGAAAAAAAAATTGCAAAATCGGAAAAGAGCATACCCAAAAACCTATTCAAAGACATGCCACCCGACTTTGTAACTCTTATGGTTGCTGAGAAAAAAATTAAAGAAGAAATGCAGATTTCAACTCTCTTT